TTTTGGAGGCCATCAGTCTACACATCTGCATCCCTACCAGGGTGTGGGCTCTTTCAGGGCCACTCCGGGGAACCCCTGTACTCCCAGCCAGGTTTCCAGTTGAACTGTCAGTGCTGGAACACAGGTTCTCACCCTGAATCCCTGCTGCTGCTACCTCTACTTCCCTAGGAAAAGAATTCTTACCTTACCTCCCTCCCGGGTGGGTTAGATAACCTGGGGCTTTGAAGAGTTAGGCAAGGGAGTGGAGCAAGTAGGGGCAGGGCCCTGGGTGCCCATGGATAGCAGCCTCCAGAAAGCTGGTGTGCTGGTTAATTTTTGTCAACTTGATACAAACCAGAGACATCTGGGAAGAGGAAACTTCAATTGAGGAATTTCCTCCACTTGACTGGCTTGTGGGCATGTCTGTGGGTCATTTTCTTGATTGGAAAGTGATGTGGAAGGGCCTATCCCTAGGCAGATGGGCCTGGGCTGTATAAAGAAGTTAGTTGAGGGGCTGAGAGATGGCTCAGCAGCTGGGAACACTGGCTATTCTTCCAGAGGACCCGGGTTCAGTTCTTAGCACCCACATGGCAGCTTATAACTGCTTCTGACTCCAGTTCCAGGGGATCACACACACCCTCTTCTGGCCTATGTAGGCATTGCATGCACAGGTGCATTTATATACATGCAGGCAAAACATTCATACACATAAAATAATATTAAAAAAGAAAGATAGCTAGGAGCAAGCTAGGAGAAGCAAGCCAGTAAGCAGTGTTCCTCTGTGAGCTCTGTTTCAGATCCTGCCTCCAGGAACTAAAGGAGTTTCTGTCCTGCCTTCCCTCAGTGAAGAACTGTGACTTGGGACTTGTAAAATGAAATAAACCCTTTTTTCTCCCCAAGTTGTTTTTGGTCATGCTACTTTTTTAACCTTTTTTTTTAATTGAAATTTTTTGTATTTCATACAGAACATCCCAATCAATCTTAATCATCTCTATACTCCCTGTCCCCACTGGGACCCTCCCATAGACCTCCCCCCACTGGAATTCATACATTCTGTCATTTATCTTAAGGCCTATTGTGTCAAATTAGCGTCCCCAGATGTCCCTCAGTGCCAGTTAATCTACTGAGGCCTAGTCAATATATCTAGAGTTCCTTGCTTTAGGAATATTAACATTTCCTCAACCAGCAGGAATCAGTTGCCAAGGTTGGGGTCTGCTGTCCATTTCCCCAGTTCTATGATAGGTTTTTATCTGTTTGAGTTTGCATGGGTTCTGTGCATGCTGACACCATTGCTGTAGGTTCATATGAGCAGGGTCCCAGGAGCCTGTAGGATTCTATTTCCATATGGTTGTCCATCTCCTCCCTGGCTCTTACAATCTTTCTGCCCCCCTCCCCCAGGGCCTTGGATGGTAAAGTTTAATATAGGAGTCCTATCCAAGGACCTACACTCTACTCTACACTTTGACCATTTGTGGCTCTTTGTGTTCATTGCCCTCTGTTGCATGAGAGAACTTCATTGATAAGAGTTAAAAGATGCATTAGTATTCTTTCTACCCCTTGTTCCACTATGTTTCATTGCACCTCCTCCCTGGTTCTTACAATCTTCCTGCCCCCTCTTCCAAAATGGTCCCTGAGCCCTGGGTGGGTGTAGTTTAATATAGAAGTCCTGTTTTGGTTATGCTATTTATCACAACAATAAAGAAACCAAACTAGAACTTCTGGGCTGAGGAAGGAGTGTGTAGAAGCTAGACCTGTGCGGACAGCTGGTGGCCCCTTTCAATCTGCTTATATTTAGCAGTAAGAGCTTCTTTCCTTCATGGGCCCTCACTGGCTCTGTGGGAATTGGCATACAGAATGGCTCCTCTGGGGTTGGAGACTGGGAGGAGCCAGAACTCAGGGGTCAGCTGCAAAGCAAGCCCCACAATCCTGCAGATAATTGGTGATGGGAAGAGGCTCTTCAGGAGTTCCTGCACTGTTCACATGGCTTATTTTTTTAAGGCCTGGCAAGCACTCTTTCACTGAGCTATACCTCTAGTACCTTACAATTACCTTTGTTTGAAATTATGTTAAAATAAAAAGCTCCAAAATTAATGTATTTTCAAACATCCCAGGAAGTATGAAGAAAAATATAGCTCCCCAAGGAATTACCATCCCCTCGCATAGCATCTTAGCACTTGCCATGTTTTTTCAAGTACATTAAATTTTTAAGAAATATTTCATTATTTTTATTTTATTTTGTATGTATGAGTTTACCTGCATGTATGTAAGTGCACCATGTTGTGCAATGCCCACAGAGGTCAGAAAAGGGCATCGGATATCCTGGAACTGGAGTTGTAGACAGTTGTTAGCTGCCGTGTGAGTGCTGGGAACTTTTCCTTCTATAAGTTGCCTTGATTATGGTGTTTTATCACAGCAACAGGAAAGCAACTAATACAGGCATTCTAAACAAGCTCCAATGCCTACATCCCCTAGATAAGGGCCAGAGAGTGACCTTTCAGCTCATCACATGCTAGATTCTCTACTCCCTGTAGGCTTCCGGCACGCTAGCCTCCTGTTTCTCTGCCAGGCTGTCTATCTATATAGGGCTTCTGGACTGAGTCTTTTTCCTCTGAGTTTCTGTCCCCAGTGTCTGCACTTTACCTCCTCAATGTCCTCAAATTTGGGCTTAAATGTCACTTCTCAAGGAGACCCATAGTGATGCTCAGTAACTATCCAGCTCCCTTACCCACACTAGTCCCCACTAATCTCTCTATTCCATAGCCTATATTGCTGCTTCTGGACTGTGATGGTTAGTTTTGCATTGCTATAACAAAATACCTAAGGCTGGGAAATGCACAAAGAAAACAGGTTACTTAGTTCACAGTTTTGGAGGCTAGAAGTACAGGTTGGACTTTTTTCAGGGCTATAGCGAACAGATGGTGTCATGCTGCAGAAGGGGCTACCTGGCAAGACAGAAAGCCCGAATTTGTAAGCCAGCTTTGCTCTACCAGCCCAAGCAATCTCTTAATGTAGGATCCCAATGACCTAATTAGATTGTACTAGGTATCTTTTTTGTTGGTCCCACCACCCCCAGTATTGCTGCACAAAGATCCAAACTCCCAACACCTGAGCCCTTGGGGACACACTGTATCCCAGCAGTAGCAACACTGTGCATTTTCTTAAAGATTCTACTTTTAAGTATATGACTATATGTGTCTGTGTGTGGGCATGTACACATGAGTGCAGGTGCCCTGGGAATCCAGAAGAGGGCATTGAGTCTCCTGGAACTGGAGTTAGAGATGGTTGTGGGTCACCTGACTTGGGTGCTGAGAACCAAACATGGGTCCTTTGGAAGAGCAGTACACACTCTTCACCTCTGAGCCATCTCTCCAGTTCCCGCATTCTAATTCAATATTCATTTACTTCTTGTCTTCCCCTAAATGTACCAGGACCTTTATCTGTTTTCTCACTGACACATTCCAAGTCCCTGGGACACTGTCTAGAACATGGTAGAGCTCAGGACATGCCAAGAGGTTCAGTGTGCAAATAGTATTTTCAGCTTTCACACTGTATAAAAGGTCCCATATCTGCTGTGGTCATGAGAACTTTCACTTTCCCCATATTATGTCCCTGCTATCTATTTGGATTGAGCCATATGTGGTCTTTAGGTGCCACATCGTCTCCCTGGAGAGCTTCACTTCTCTCTCCTTCCTGGGTCTGGACACTCAGTTTGGGGCCATCTGTGCGGCTGTGAAGAGTGTTTGTGGACACCCCTTTGTGCTAGTATGCCAGTTTCTCTGTCTGGGTGAGTACCTGTGAGGACAGCAGGAGTTCTCAGCTGAGAGTTTATTCCTGGAGATTCTGCTTCTGTCAGCCTGGTCTGCGCTCAGCACAACAGCAATGAAAGGAAAATCTCTAGCTGATTCTAGCAGCAGCCAAAAAGGTTTAGAACCACTGTTCATGCAAAGGGCCACCTAGAAGGCTGTTCTTGGGCTACCTTTGAGGCCTGCTGGCTTATAGGAATATCGTACTGGGGCAGTCCACCCCCTTGCCCCTTGTGGATCTGGTTTCTCTGTTCTTCTTGGGGTTATCCCTTCCCTGACCACCGATGTCTGCTGATAAGCTGAGGGCAAACTGATCTCATTGTCCTCAACAGTGTCCTAATTGCTAAGGAGGCAGAATTCAATGCTTGGTAAGGTGTGGTTGATGTCCCCTGCTTTCCCTCCTTCCTTTTCTCATCTCTCTCTCTCCTTCTTTTCCATTCAGGGGCTCAAACCTGTAGTATCACTCATGCCATGTAAACATTCTACTATTGAGCTACCCTCAGTCCTCAAAAACTTTTTTTTCTCAAAAGATTTTTAACAATACACTAATGGACATGAAAGACTTACTTTTCTCCTGCCACTACAGGGAGCCTTGTCTGCTGGTTTCCTTGCAGCCCCTCCTCTCCTCCCTGCAGCAGGCTCAGCTCAGAGCATTAGCCGGCTATGGGAGTTGGGGCAGGTAGGAGAGCATCCTTAGACACAACTCCTGGTGCTAGGTGGGGTCATGTGTGCAATACAACTTGAGTTTCCATGCTATGCTGCAGATCCACCAGAACCAACTCTGCAGCAGTCAAGAGCCGAGTCCTTGCTAACAGCAGCAGCTGCAGCAGCAGCTCCAGCACAGAACCCCAGGTCTGCCCCTGCTGTGCTTCTCTGCTTCCTTCCATCTGGGCCACTCAGTTCTTGGTCTGTGGCCACCTCTGAGGGAGAGTTGGGCTCAGGCCAGCAGTCCTATGGACTTCTTTAGGTCTGTGCCTCCTTACTGGGTTTGTCTTCCGTCGCTGGCAGCACAGGCTCTAGTGCCTTTCTGGATTTCCAGGAACTAGGTGACTGGACACGGAAGAGAAGGGGAGGGAGGGGGAGGAGGAGAGGGAGGGAGGGAAGAGGGAGGGGGTAGAAGGAGGGGAGGAGCAGAAAGAGGGGGAGGAAAAGAGGGAGGGGGAAGCGGAGGAAGAAGCAGCAGGCGCCAGGACCTGGGAGGGAGGAAGGGAGGAGTAGGAGATGGAGGGGGAAGAGGGGTGGTGGAGGGAGAAGGAAAAGGACCTAAGGGAAGGGGAAGGCAGGAGAGGTGGGAAAGAAGTGCGCGAGGAGTAGAGAAGTGCGGAGACAGGGCTGTGCTCCCTGGCTCCCAGTGGACGCTACTCTGGCCTCTGGCGACCTAAACAGACAGGAGGAGCCTCCAAGAGGCTACCTGGGAGTGCTGTCCCAAGTGGAGGGCTCTTCCGGAATGCAGCCGCTCCCGCCGCCGGTGCCAGGCCCCCTGGCTCTGCTGGACACTACCGGTGAGTTGGCGGCCCCAATACCATTTCTGGCCGGGAATGGGGGGCAGGGTTGGGACCCTTGTTACAAGTCTCCCGCTGGTCCAGGAGGGGAACTATTGGGCACAGCTTGAGATTCTGGGTACAAGGCTCCCTTGGGGCTTGGGGTTGGTTTGCCCCACTTCTTTTGAGCTTATCTTTGGGACACTAAGCTGGCACAGTCCACTTATTCACTGGTCCAGCATCTTTTCGCCACACATCAATCTATTCACCCATTCTCTTTTGTCTCTGTCCTTAATCCCACTTCCCCCTTTTTTAAATTTATGTGTCTGTTTGTGCGGGTGCTCATGGAGGCCAGAAGCGATGTTGGATCTTCTGGCGTTTCAGTTTCCAAACTTTTCTGGGAAATATTTGTTTCAAAGAACCAGGGAGCACCTTCCTGTTTGAGAGAGACAAGGGTGTTTAGGGTAGTTTAGTGTCGTTGGTGCCAGTATGGGTTCCCACAAGCTCCACTGCCCAGCATCCTTTCCTCGACGACTGGCCGAAGCCAGGTCTGCCTGGGAAAACAGGAAACCTGTTGCAGGCTCTGGCTCCCAGCCGTTAGGCTTGGGTGCTCTGCTGGGAAGCAGCCAGGCCAAAGGGATGCTGGGCATTGTTCCTTAAGGACAGAGGAAGGGGGGGAGTTTTAAGAAGAAAAGACTTTCTACCATGGGTGACCCTCCCTCTGCCTCTGGATTAAGAGTCAGATGTGGAGGCACAGCTGCCTTTAGAACCAACCATATCACTGAGAACCCTGACAATAGCCTACAGCTATCACTGGGATACTTTGGGAAGACTTTTCCAAAACCAGATTGGTAAATGCTGTTAAATAATAATTAAGAAATTGGCTTAAGTAATAATCGGCTTAAATACTAATTAAGAAATCGGGTTTCTTTCTTAAAGAGACCATTGTACACTCTCCACCGGAAGGTCAGATGCTCTGTGGACATCCATTCATTCTCCAGGAGAATAATGACTGTGTAGTTTTGAATGATAATCTTTCCCATGACTGGCTGTTGCTATTGTTTTATTAGAGTGACTTGATGGTTTAGAACAGATTCTGACTTAGCCTTTTCTTCTGATGAGGAATATTGGTCCTTTTTATTTTTTAAATTGATTTTTATTTTGTGTATACAATTGTTGCGCCTGCATGTATAATGTATGTAAGTGTACCTGTATCTTACAATGGCTGCAGAGGTCAGAAGAGTGTATTGGATCCCCTGGATCTATGTGGGTGTTGGGAGCTGAACCCAGGTCCTCTATAAAAGCAGCCATTACTCTTAACCACTGAGCCATCTCTCCAGTCTCTGGTCCTTTTTTTTTTTTTTTTTGAGACAGAGTCTTAAAAGTGACTAAGTCTGCATGACTCTAGGCTGTGGCTATTTTATATTTGTGTTTCTTTACCTATAGCTCTGAGCAGTGTTGCATGTAAAATCAGAACCTGATGACTGAGCAGTGCCTAGCTTTGTGCCTCGCTTGTGCTACCTGGGGGACACTTTGCCTCTGCAACAGGATATGACTAGATGGAATTTCCCAGGCTGGTCTCAAACCCTGGGCTCAAGTGATCTTTCTGCCTCAACTTCCCCAGTACCTGAGACTAGACTCAGGTGACCACTCTGGGCCCAAGGGATTAATCTTACTCTGGGAGGCCGTGGATTAAGAGCCCTGCTGAGCCATGCCCCCCCCCGCCCCCAGGTTTGGGCATCGCTTCCTGCCTCTACTAAATCAAAAAAGTGGCCCAGGACAGTGGACAGTCTACTGTCCATCGATGTTTGCTCCTTCTGGGTGGACCAAGTGGGACTATGAGTTCCAGCAGTTCCAGCCAAGGAAGGTAGGGGCCTGGAAGGGAGGCAACATTTGAAAATGAGAGGTAAGGTGAGGATGGGGTGAGGGATGGGTGGGTGGAAAGTGGCCAGGTCACATGCTGAGGTATGTCACCTGCAACGGATTAGATAGGAGCACTGAGCAGCTGAGAAAGTTATTGCTGGCTCAGGAGCACCCTCAGAATGTTCTTGTGTTTTAAAAATGAGTAGAACAGCCAGATGTGGTGGCACATGCCCTTTATCCCAGCACTCGAGAGGCAGAGGCAGGCGGATCTCTGTGAGTTCAAGGCCAACCTGGTCTACATAGTGAGTTGGAGCTACAGGGAGATCATGTCTCAAAGGGAAAAAAAAAGAGTGGGACAGTGTGCACACATGGTTTCTGAAGATCCTTTAACAGATTCAGCTGGTCAGGTCATTGCCATTTCCAACTCCACACAGGAGGTGAAGTCCTTTTACCCATTCCATACTTGGTGGCATTTCTATCTCCCAGTCTGTGTCAGGCTCTGGCACTGAGTGTGAGAGGCATGGCCTTGCAAGCCTTCCTGTTCCTTCTGGGCCTGAGCATGGGAATTACCCAGAAGTTACTACCTCGTAGCAGTAGTTTCATTAGCAGCTGGCAGAGCAGGATGATAGTGCTCTGCTAATGAGTTAAAAAACAGAGGAGATGATCCAGTAACGATATGGATCTCTGTCATGCACGAAACTCTTTTTTCTATCCAAAACCTGACGTAGAAATGCATGCATCTGGCAGTTTCAAAGACAGCCTGCCTTCTTGTCTTGGGCTTGCTTTTCACCTCTTTATTTTTATGCCATGTTGTGTATTAAGATGTATTTATGACAGACACTTTGGCAGGACTCTCCTTTCCATTGTCTGTCTGGCAGGAGTCCACTCATTCCAGTCCAGGTGGTTGGAAGGAGATGCTCAGCTGCCTTGTCCAGAGCTGTGTACATCCTGTTCTTTTCTAGACCCTGCCTTAACCTGGGCAACCTGGAAAGAAATGCTGGTAACTGGGCCCAGCCCATGCCTCTGGTTTTTATTAGAGATTATTCTGAGGAAGGGTCAGACTCAGGAAGGAGCAGTGAGGGCAAACGGCTGGCAGGAGGATGAGTGGGAGAGAGTGGGATCTCAAGAGGTGGACCTTTGGCCAAGTGGTCTTTTGCAGGTCTGAAGCTGTTAGTTCTTCGACAGGTTTAAGTGCCATCAGCTTAGGATGTCTCCAGACCCGTTTATCATGCTAATGAGCTAGCAGAGGGCAGGACATGGTCCAGGGTGCTGTGGGCAGATGCTACCACAGCCAAAAGATGGCTCCACAGAAGGGCCCACCCAGATCTTGGCCAATGTGGGGTCATTGCTAGTTATTTGAGATATGATTGGTGTGTATAATGCAGTTAGGAAAAAGGGAAAATGAAACTTTTTAGTGGAGAAAGCACCTACTTGGTCCATTACACCCCAGCTCACTACCCGTTAACTCATCAGTGCTTGCTTAGTACCTCTGCAGATGCCACTAGATGGGACCAGGAGGTACCCAGGCCTGTCTCGCCAGCAGATGAGCTCCAGGTCTGAGTGCTGGCAGGTGCTGTGAGCACCATGAAGAAATGAAGGGCTGCTCCAAAGCCTTGCTCCCTTGCTCTGCTGTGTCCCCTGTTACTGGTGCTCCCCCAGGAGGGTGTGCATCTTGCTTTCACTGGCCTGAGCCATACAGAGTAGGTTCCATTCAGCCTGTCCTCCTCCTTCTGAGTTTATTTACTCAGAGGTTGAGGATGAAGGAGAAAGTGATGCTCAGAGCTCCTTCTTCCTGGCTCAGCCTGCTGTGGCCCCTCCAGCTTCCTGTTTAGCACCTAGGTTGCCCACCAACCTCAGGGCTTTCCCTGGGCCAGCTGGCCCCACGGTCTGATCCACTCCCCAGTCACCTTAGGGCCTCTTTTCTCAAGAAGTGTTCCCATATCCCTTCCTGAGTTCTCCCTGTTCCCTAGCCCTGCTTCATTTTTCTGCTGAATCCAGTACTGTGGCTAGTCTTGTGTCTCCTGACCTCCTCTGCTCATACCAAAAGCTCTGCCAGGGGCAGGGTTTTCCTTGTGCTCACGGCAGTATGTTTGAGATCTAGAGGCACTTATAACTAGTGTATGCTCAGTTAAGTATTTGTGAAATGGATGACTAAGAAGCGTAGGAGTGATGAGCATAGGGGTATGTCTGCCAGGGACATTTAAGGAAGCCCTTAGGGCGAGCTGAGGCAGATGCATAGGTCCCATTGACTGTGGAAGTAAGCCTTCCCCTCAGAGAGGCAGAAGAGGGGGAATAGCAATGGGGAGGGGAAACTGAGTCTCCATCTGAGGCCAGGACTTGCAGAACCTGAAGACAGCCTCAGGGACAGCATAGCTTAGTCAACAGGAACCCTGCCTTCCACCACCCTAGATCCTGGGGCCTCCGAAGCAGTGAGGCCAGAGATGGAAGGGAACCCTTGACAGCTGCTGGGAGCTGGTGTTTACTGTTGGGGAATGGTCCCTCTAGGGCTGAAGGGTGGTTTAGGATGAGATTCTCAGGAGAAACCTGTCACTCCTAGGTTTGGAGGGAGGTGAGAAGGCTGAGCAGGATTGAGCAGGGCAGAGCAGGGTCTCAGAAATGGAGTCTTGTTCCTAGGAGATGCGCCATTGCTGGGTCAGCTGGATAAAAATGGCTCTCTCAGGTTCGCTGAGTCATTTGGAGTGTGAGCAGTCATCTGTGGCATTGTGAAATTTATATCTGAGTTTGAAACAATTCCTTCCTTGCGTATCATAACCTTGACTTGTGTTGAGCTTTGCTGATGAGGTTGAAGATCCGTGAAATCTACAGATGAGAACCTTCCAGAGTGTAAAGGTCTGCCTGCTTGGATCTGGTGGCCATTTGAACCAGGGGTGAACTTGGGCAGGCAGAACACTTCCTGATGAAGCAGGCACTCAGGTGTGTGCACACACATGGAGGCACACATGTATACACACATGTATGCACATTCACAAAACGCTGACTTGTAGAACTTGGAGTAGAAGGAGGCCAGAGGGCTGTTCTTCCATCCACTTCTATTTGCAGTTACTTGGTTAAATGCCTGGTTAAATGCCTGCCTGGATCATAGCTAAGCTCACCTCTCACTTGGCCTTGGCCTGTAGTTCAGGTATATGGTTGTGTAGTGGTTAGGTGGGGCGTGTCTGGGAGTAGTGGACATTGTAGAAGAGCTAATTGGAAACTACTTTGTCCTCCCCAAACTGTCAGGGAGGAGTCAGACCCAAGGAGGTGAAGCGGGGAGGGCTCTTTCCTGCTTGCCTGTATGAGTTGTGCAGCAGTTGGAGTTTGGATGGGATGCACAGAGCAGTCTGTCTAGAGGATGCTCTATGGTGCTTGGGCTTTATTCTGTCATTGATAAGGGCTGGAGGCCGAGCACTCAGTGGCATTTCTTCTCCAATGTTCTCCACCTGTCACTACATGCCCCAGTGTCATTGTTCAAAATGGCTGCAGGGCCCAGCCATTGTATTTGTAGCACAGGAAAAGGGGAACAGAGGCCAAGAGGTACTTCCCTTCCTTGAGTCCTTCCACAGTCTGTGTTGAGCTGCAGCACGTGCAGAACTCAATCTTGCAGCCTTCCCACAAGGTGGGTAGGTCCCCACCCAGAACCCCAGTGCTTCTGACACTTACAGCGCTCATTATTCCCTCATTCCTGGTGCAACCCTTCTCTCCTCGGATCTGAGCTGGATGCTGGCAAGGCATCCCCCAGCTTCAGGTTGTAAGTCCTGGCTATGCTCAGGGCTGGAAGGGAGGGAAGAGTGTGCAGGCTGCTGACCTGCTTGGCTTACCTGGTACCAGGTCTTCCCTTCCTTGGTGGAGCAAGGGAGGTGTGGTGCTTATAGGATTCAAAAAACTGGACCTGGTGCATAGTGGGTAGTAGGCCCCCGGCTCACTAGTGCCTCTCTTGTCTTAAACTCACAGAGGGCTTCGCGAGGAGGAAGAAGACCTCCCTGTGGTTTGTGGGCTCTCTGCTGCTGGTGTCTACCCTCATCCTGACCATTGGTCTCGCTGCAACCACCAGGACAGAAAATGTGACTGTTGGCGGATACTACCCAGGGATCATTGTGAGTCCAGGGCCCATGGGGGACTGGGCAGGGTGCTCAGCATTCCCCATCCACAGTGATTGAACCCTCCAGTAGGGGGTCATAGTTGGTAAGAAAGTGACCCTGACCTGATCTCCAGAATCTGAGAGTGTGGTCAGCTGAGAGACAAAGGGCGGTGAGGGCTGCTGGTCAGGGGGCCTAAGATAGGACCATGGTCCTGAACCACTTTTCAAGCAGGCCATTGTCAGCACAGGGTCCCTGGAAGTGGAGGGAGCAGGAGAGGAATGTGACTTGGTAAAGGTGAGAGGGGTCAGGGCCACACAATGTGACTTGGTGAAGGTGGGGAGGTGTCTGAAGCTGGGGAAGGCCAGAGCCTCTAGGAGCCACAAGAGGTGGGAACAAATCCTTCCCAGATCCCTGAAGAACCAGCCTTGCTGTCCCTAGACTTTAACACATGCAACCAGCCCCAACCCAATCTGCCTTAGATGGTGGACTAGTAGCTTCAGGAGACCTGTGGGAAGGTCATGATGTGACCATCTGGGAACAGAAAAAGGTGGACCTGTGCCTACTTCACTCTCTCTTCCATTGGATTTGGACAATGGCTACATGGGTGGGCAGTACAGGCAGACCTGGTGGAGTCACCATCAGATTTTTATGATCAGGAGGTTTCACATGTGTTGCTGATAGTGGTGGGTGAGGTTTGCCTCAGCCATCTACACTGTGCACAGTGACCTGTGGAAATGACCTTGGAGCAGCAGCTCTATCCTCCAAGGAGCCCTCATTCCTTTCAAAGGAAGCCTTTCAGTTCTTTCACTGAAAGACAGACGAGGCTAGTGATAGTGGGACTCTTGACCCTCAGCTCCTGGACATATTTGACTGTTGATTTCATCCTTATACTGTCCTTTATCACACATCTATCTATAAAGCCACATTATCTACTTGGGTGTGATTCGTGCATAACCCTGTGCAAAAAGTGTCTGTGCAGGAAAAGTTTTATCGGTAACATTGCATGAAGTTCATATTGGGGACCCCAGCCTTACACATGGCTTTTCTGCCATACTTCCTGGGTGAGAGTGGAATCCTGGACTTCAGAGACTAGAGATTACGAAGATGCAACATCTCAAACTCTGAAAATTATGGTCGGCCTTGAGTGGCGTTCTTCTTGCTTGTTCTTCAGCAGTCCTTGTTTGAGATTCCCACCAGGATGTTCGTTTCATTTCTGTTGCTATGGTGAAGTATCCTGACAAAAAGCAGATTAAGGGAGAAAAGGTTTATTTAGCTCACAGTTCCAGGTCACAGTCCATCATGGCAGGGAATCAGGGCAGGAGCTTGAAGAGCTGGTCACATCACATCCACAGTCATGAACAGAGAGAAATAAATGCATGCGTGTTGCTTGCTTGCGTGTGCTCAGCTCTATTTCTCCTCTTTTATACAGGCCAGGACTGCTGTCTAGGGAATGGTGCTTCCCACAGTGGGCTATGTCTTCCTTCATCAATTAACTTAATCAAGACAGTCCCCCCAAAGACATGCCCACAGGCCAACACAATGTAAACAATCCCTCATTCAGACTTTCAAGGTGGTTTTCAGTTATGTGAAGTTGACAAAGTTAACCATCACAGGACTATGTTCCAACATAACAGTATTTCTCAGGGGTGATGAGTAAGGGACCTGTTTTCTGGTGATGAGTTAATACTATACTGACCAGAATGAAGTTAGCTTTGACCCAAAGTGTCCTGGGATTACAGGTATGTGCCACTGTTCCCAACTAGACAGTGTTTTAAGGGTGCATTATTAAACATTTTGAAGTTATATTTATTTATCTTGAGGGAGGGGTGGTCCATATGTCATAGCAAGTGTGTGGAGGTCAGAAGAGTTGGTTTCTTCCTTCCACCAGGTGGATCTTGAGGTTTGAACTTAGGTCATCAGGCTTGGTAGCAAGTGCCTTTACATGATGAACCATCTCACCAACCCAGAGGTACGTTATTGACTGAAATGGTACAGCATGATATTAACCAAACATCTCTCTCTTGTTCTTCCTTGGGTCTCAGCTGGGCTTCGGGTCCTTCTTAGGAATCATTGGCATCTACCTGGTGGAGAATAGACGACAGATGGTAAGAAAATGCATCTCTTTCATGCGGTGGTGTGGAGTGTTGGTTCCTCAATAGAGGATGCTTCAGTCACAGCTGGGATTTCTGAGGCAGGTTCCTTTCCACATTCATCAGCATGCCTGTGCTCTGCACTGTACGATCCTAGACTTAGGGCCTAACTGATGCCATTCGTAAGTTAGTCTAAGTCAAAATCCCCCAGGGCACTAAGTTGTTGTTCCTGCTCATTCCAGCTGAGGAACAGGGAGAGGTAGAGATGAAAACAGAGCAGGGAGCCCTTGGGTCAGATGCTGGAAACATGTTCACAGAATGCTGATAGCAATCTAGTGCAGGGGAATGCAGACAGCGTTTGTTGATGCACTGTGTGGATTATTGCTGTAAAAATAAATGGTTCACTTTGCTAAATCTTGGGGCAGGAAGATTATTTCAGGAGCCCAAAAGAGAGTGATGGGGTTGCTTCTGCTTCATCTCTGAATCATTGCACCTGACCTTGCTGGCTGTAAGGTCTTAACTGCCCTGGTTGTCATCTGATATGTCACCAAGTTCAAAAGTCACTTGCCCTGAGGTTTTCACCAATGTGTGAGGAATATGAACCTTAGGTTGTACTGAGAGCATTGCCCCACCTCACCTGTCCCTGCCCATGGCCGGGCAGCTGTGGTGTTTACTTTATGGCCTGTATAGGAGACCACAGGAAGACCAGCCCTGAGGGGCTCAGCCCAGTGTATCCTAGCACACATCCCAGCAGCTAGGCTTTTCAGAGAGCTTTGTCCCAAACATTGGAGAGGGTTGAGGCTTCAGGGTAAACTGAATGCTGGTAATGGTTGCAAAGAGCTAGAGAGAGACCCACACTTTCTTCCTGCGTCTCACAGGAGTGGGTGCCTGAGGGCCAGGGCTATAGCTAGCCACAGGCCTAGACTCCCAGGAAATGGGAGCTGGGAACAGGCTACCTTTGGGGGTCACACGCTCACCATGGTGGTCCTGAGAACTCACCCTTTTTGAGTCTAGGGAATGCTCTGTGCCTCCCAGAGTCAGGGGCTTGGCCCAGCTGTTCTGAGTATCATTAATCTATAGATCAAAGGCCTCTGAGGTCCCTCTCCAGGGAGGCTGAAGTGGTGTACGATGCTGGGGTGGACAGAATGCAGGGGAGTACCATGCAGCATGCTCAGAGGTGTGGACTTGCACTGCTTTGAACGTTGGTTTCTTTCCCTTCTGTTCTTAAAAACAGCATTGATGAGATAGAACACACAATTTTAGTGCACTCACAAATAAATGCACCCCTCACCACAGTTAATTTTAGAGCATTCCTAATATCTCAATAAGAGCTGGTTCCCTTCAGCTTTCACTCCCCACCTGTTCTAGTTACTTTCTATTGCTGTGATAAAAACACTGACCAAAACCAACTCAGGGATGAAAGGGTTTATTTCATCTTACACTTCCAAAGCATAGTCTATCTTTGAGGGAAGTCAGAAAGGAACTCAGGGCAGAAAACTGGAGGCAAGAGCTGAAGCACAAACCACGGAGGAACGTTGCTTAGTCTTGTTCCTCTGGCCCGTGCTCAGCCTGCTTTCTTATATAACCCAGGACTACTTGCCCAGGGGTAGCACCACCTATAGTGGTCTGGGCCCTCCACATCACTCAGCAATCAAGAAAATGTCCCACAGACATGCCCAAATGTCAGCCCTGTAGAAGAAATTCCCCAATTGAAGGTTCCTCTTTCCAGGTGTGACAAGTTGACAACTGACGCTATCAAGTGATGCTGCAGCCAGCACACCACCTGATCTGAAACAATCCCTGGAGTGGCTCCTAAACCCCCACCTCTTCTTCACTATGTAGCTCTGGCTGGCCTGGAACTCTCTACATAGACCAGGCTGACCTCAAACTTACACAGATCCGCCTGCATCTGCCTCCCAAGTATTGGGACTAAAAGTGTGGGCTTGGTCTGGCTTCTGTCTCTAAAGGTTTCTTGTGCTGGTTCTCATGTGAGTGGAGTAACAGGCAACATGTGGTCTTTGGTCTGGCTTCCTTCACTGAGCATGTCTTCAAGGTTCTTCCATGTTGCAATGTGTGTTAGAATTCCTTTCCTCTCTAATGATGAATCCTGTTCCACCATGAGGATGGACCACATTTTTTCTATTTGTTTCCCAGTGATGAACGGTTAATATAATCTCCTGTAAAACAGTACTTTTGTTGGGGCTGGAGAGATGGCTCAGCGGTTAAGAACACTGGTTGTTTTTGCAGAAGACCTGGGTTCAAATCCCAGCACCCACATGGCAGCTAACAACTGTCCGTAACTCCGGTTCCAGGGGATCCGACAGCCTCTTCTGTCCTCTGTGGGCATTGCGCTACGTGGGTGCACTTACCTACATGTAGACAATACACTCATACACATAAAATATAAATACTAAATAAAATATTTAAAAAAACAGTGCCTTTGTGAATATCTCTGAGCAGGTTTCTGTGGAGATGCACACTTTCACTTCTCTTGGCTCTGTACCTAGGAGCGGAATTGCTAGGTCACATGGTAAATTTATATTTAATTATTTGAGGAGCAGACAGACTGTTTCCCCAAGTACTTGCCTCATTCTATACTCCCTATGGTAGGCATGAGAGTTCAGCTCTCTCCATGTCTCCTGAACACTTGTTGTTGCCTGCCTTTTTAAATCCAGGCAACCAAGGCGGCCTGAGCAGGATCCCATTGTGGTTTTTGTTGTTGTTGTTTGAAACAGGGTCTCCCTGTAGCCCTCCCTAGCTGGCCTGGTACTCGCTATGTAGACCAGCCTGGCCTCAATCTCACAGAGATCCCCTTGCCTCTGCCTCCCTAGTGCTGGAATTAAAGGCCTGTGCCAAGCTGCATTTTAAAAGCTTATTTATTTATTTATTTATTTATTTATTTATTATTTATATGTGCATGAGTGTTTTGCTTGAATGCATGAAAGTGCATCTGGGCATGCAAACCCATTGAGGTCAGAAGAGGGCATCAAGTCCCCTGGAACTGGAGTTACAGACAGTTGTTAGCCACCATGTGGGTTCTTGGAACTGAACTCAGGTCCTCCACAAGAGCAACCAGTACTCTTAACCACTAAGCCATCTCTCGAGCCTCCTGTGTTATAAAAATTATTTTTATGAGAGAGAGAGAGAGAGAACATGTATGCAAATGCTCAGGGAGGCCAGAAGAGAGCATCCCATCCCCTGGAGCACTAACGTAGGTGCTGGGAACCAAACCAAGTCCTCTGGAAGAATAGCAAGAGCTTGTAACCACTGAGCCATCTCTCCACTTCAATGCTTCCCCATTGTGGTCTGTTATTTGTGTCATTCTCTGGTGATGAATGACAGTATGTCTCTTTTCTTTCTTTTTTTCCTTTTTAAAAATAATTTAAATATTTTACTTTTTGAGAATTTCATGCACAAGCACTCTATTTCCATCATTTTCTCCCCCCTCTCCCTCTTTCAAGTCCTCCCATGTTCCCCTCATTCCCTCTTAATATCCTGACCTTTTTAGTATTGTTACACGTATATATACACACAACCTACTGAGTCCATTTAGTGGTGCTAAAATGTATATGTGTTTAGAGGTGATGACCACTTGGAGCTTATCCCTGGAGAACACTGATTCTCCCTCTCTCAGTAGCAGTCGATTGCCTGTAGCTCTTCATCTAGAGATGGGACCTTGTGGAATTCCCCCAACTACACTGGCGTATCAACTGGTATTATTATACAAGTCTTTCTTAAGCAACCATATTTTGAGAGTTCATGGGCGCAGCTTCCCTGTCTCATCTGGGTTTGTCTCTTTTCATGAACTTACTCCTCACTTGTATGTATTTTGGGGAAATATCTTTCTGGATCTTTTCCCTCTGTCTTTGCTAGTGAGCTCACAGGACCCTTTTGTGTTCCAGGTTCAAATCTCATTAAATCTGTGCTTTGCAGTCTTTTTTCCATTCTATGGGTTATTTTTCCACTTTCTTGTCAATGCCCTATGAATGACAGTAGCTTCCAATTTTTGTGTGTAGTATATGTGTGGGTGCTTGTTTTTTGTGTGTGAACATGTGTATGTGCAGGTCAGAGCTTAATGCCAGATGCCTTTCTGTATCTTCCACCTTATTTTTGAGACAGAGTCCTTCACTGAACCTGAATCTCACTGATGTGGCTGACCGGTCAGCTCCAGGGATCTCCCAGTCTCTATCTGTCTGTCCCCACCCGACCCCTACCATCCAACACAAAGATTACAGACACACACCACCATGCTTGCCTTTGACATGGGTGCTAGGAACCCAAACTCAGGTTCTAATGCTTGCATGGCAGGCACTTTACTGACTGAGCCATCTTGCCAGCCCCAGCTTTTAATTTTGATGGAGATTTAATGGTTCCATTTAGGCCTCTATCCACTTTGTTCCGTTTGTGTTTGTGAGGCTGGACATCCATATTCATTCTTTTCCATCTGTCCCATTGCCCAAACACCATTTGTTGGAGCCTATTCTTTATCAATGGAGTTGGTGTCCTTGTCAGCCAGCTGACTGTGCTGGCTGGACTACTATATGGGGTTGTTTCTGAGCTCCCAGTTCTGCCCTCTGGTCTGTGGGACCTGCTTTCGTGTCGCACCATTGCCTTGGTTCCTGAAGCCTTGTCATGAGTTCTGTTTGTTTGGCCTAAGCAGGATTCCTTGCAATTATCATGAGTGAATTTTCACAGAAGCCATCAGGGACCCTGGTAAGGACAGTGCTGGGTCTGCAGGTGATGAAGCAGAAGGCTGCAGGCCCAGGAACATAATGGTTCCCCATTTCTTTAGGTCATTCTAAGCTTGTTTCACCAATGTTTTTGAGTTTTCTGAGTAAGTTTTGTGTTTCTGTTGTTGCCTTTATTCCTACTGATTTTATTCATGCCAAGGCCATTGTGAGGAATTGTTTTTGGAGGGCTCATTACCACTATGGCTTCTGAAGGTGCATTTCACAGCCTGTAATTCACAGAACTCATTTGCTGTTTCTCATGGCTTTTCAGTGGATTCTGTCTGCACGATCATGTCATCTGTAGATAACCACTTTGCCTCTCTTGGATCATGTCTACTATGGGTCAGGTTGGAGGGTAAGACCTAGAGGTGACATAGTAGACAGCAAGGAGGTCTAGGCTAGCAGTGGGCAGGTGGAGGTGGTTCCTGTGTCCTTAGATACCTTAATAGGCTGTATATGGTCCTTGCACAATCTTGCTTTTGCCCTTTCAGAAAAATGTCCTTTTGGGCTAAGTTTGTATGACAAACACACAGTTCAATCTAGTGCTAATATGATATTGGATGGCTAAAACTTGGGCCCACCACAAGTGTTGTGGCACTGGGGAACTAAACCACTGTGGACCTCAGTGGTGTCCTGGGTGGGGCAGACATCTGAGGGAGTGTCCGGCACAGAACTGGCTACTGTGAGTGTTCAGAAGCTGGAGTTACCATTCTGTCTCTAGGGGACATTCAGGTTGTTCCAGGAGACAGCAGCAGCAGGGCATCTTCAGCCAAGGAGAGGGTGGTTGTGTTTCAGATCTATACAGTGCTTTTGTCTTGATTTCTCATTATTTTAAAATTGTACCATAGAAAATGTTAAGTGTATGTAAAAGTAGACAAATACCATAATAAAACCCCATGTATACCCATCACCCAACAGTCAACTAAGGGATAATCTCCTTTTGTCTCCTGCTCTTTTCTTCCCATGGGAGGCTGAGGAGGCTGAGGCAAATCCTGGACATGTCTCATCCTATTTGTACGTGCTCCACTCTGTTCACTCTGAGGGTGCAATCTAATTAGAAGTGGCTTCATCATTACCTCTGCCCACTATTATATTAGTCTCCAGTGCAAACTAAAGAAAGCCACAATGGAAGGGCTCTTCCTATGACAGGGAGGGCAGCACACCCTGGAGAGGGCTCCTTTTCTCCCCTCTGCTACCCACCAAGTCATCTCCAAGCATCACCTCTTTCCATCCTCCTCCTCTTGTCCCAGAGAAGCTACTTCTGTGTCTGTTGGGAAAGACACCATTATTTGGAATAACACATTGTTTGTTGCAGTTTGTTCCAAGGAGCATATGTAGCACCTGGGTTTCTCCCCTGTCGAGAGAACCCTCATCTCCTTCCTTGAGGTGGGAGTGGCCTTTGTATTCCCTCTGAATCATAGAAGGATGGGGACAACCTCAGCTTCTTCCTTTACTTTCAAATTAGAGCTGTGGGTCACAGCACCACCTGCTGGGCTGGGCCACAGGCCCTTCTCCCCAGTAGGGGCTGAGGAGGGGGCTGCGCTTTGCCAAACCGTGTTGCATCTCCTTTCAGTCTGATCTCCTCCCTCATGCCTACTCTCCCCGCCCCTTTCCCTAACTTTCTGTCTCTATCTCTGTGTCTCTCTGTGTATTTCTGTTCTCTCTCTCTCTCTCTCTCTCTCTCTCTCTCTCTCTCTTCCCCTCGCCGTGTCTTTGTCATCTCTGTCTCCTTGTTTCTTGTTTCTGCTTCTATGTGTCTGTCTCTCTCACCTGGGATGAAACACCCTGTACACATGTTCATGGAATCAGGGGAGGGAGTGGGGATTCTGGCCATCTTCTCTTTAGTGTACTTTCATTTGGACCCGGCTCAGCCATTTGTCAGCTGTGTGGCCTAGGTCTGTCTCAGTTGGCTGGGGGTCAGTGAGTCACTGTGCTGGCCAGGACAGGAATTCTGCCTTTGGAGTGCATCATGTGCAGAGCTGTGATTTTGTTTCTAGAAGGGCCGAGTTCTCTGGACATAGCTCCAGAGGGCAAGCCAGAGTTTGCGCAGTCATTTTCAGCACCTGGAACAGCTCCCGCCACAGTGTCAGCACTACCAGGCAGCAAGTGTCTGCATGTGAGGCTAATGGGATGTAGGGACCCTCTGCAGTGCTTGCTGTATCCTGACGTGGCAGGACTGGTTGCAAAGCCGGTTGACTGGATGGGCTGTGACTCGGTGAGGTGGAAGCGTGGGGGTGGAGGGGGATCCTCAGAGCATAATTCCTCTGGAATGAGGATTTGGGAGTGACAGACTAGCTGTGTGGAGCTGTGTTGGGGTCATGTGATAGGTGAGAGAGAGAGAGAGAGAGAGAGAGAGAGAGAGAGAGAGAGAGATGTTGACAGTCCCCTGTAAGCTGAGTTCCTTTCCTCTAGACAACTGTCATGGGTTTTCACTGTGCTGTGCATTATGCTGTTGAGCAGAAAAATGTCAAAAAGGCCAATGGCCCTGGGGCTGAGATCTAGTCCCAGTGACTGCTTAATTGATCTGTTGTTCTGGAGGTGGAGGAGAGGAGAACAACCAGCATGCAAGATGCTGCTGTGGGTCAGGTCAGCTGGGGATCTGGGTGACTAGATTTAGAACAAAGGTCACATAGACAGAAGGGCTGGGGTGGTTGGCTAGGAGAAGGCCTCTGATCTTTCCAATACTTATGGCAGAGTTTCACCTTTAAGCTCATGTCAAACGAATAATTGAGATGAGTGAGGGTGGAGTAGGAAAGGACACCAGGAGGCTGTGGCAGGGTCACCAGAGTGCAGCTGTGTTATCAGTGTGTGGGCCAACCCAGTGCTGGAGAATTCTGACTCTCCTTCCCTCCCCTCCCTTCCCCTCCCCTCCCCTCCCCCTCTTCCAAAAAAAACTTCCCTTCCCTTCCCTTCCCTTCCCTTTCCTTCAAGATAGGCTCTCACTATTTAGAACAGGCTGACCTGGAACTTGCTGCGAAGATCAGGCTGGCCTTGAGCTCACAGAACTCCGTTTGCCTCTGGCTCCCTTAAAGGCATGCACCACCATGCCCAGCCTATACTTACTATTTCTGGATAGCTGATTTCTTACCCTGGCTTGTAATTCTAATGACTTCAGGTATCTCCTGAGACTGAGCATCAAACCCATATACTTGAACAGGTTTCCCCTGCTGGAGAGAGCTGTTACAGATAAGGAGAGGGGCTCACAGGTATGGTTTAGAAGGTACTAACACTTGGGAAACTCTCAATAAGGAAATACAGAAACATTTTTGGAGACAAAAATCTCACTACATAACTGAGGCTGCCTTGAACTCATTATTCTCCTGCCTCAGACTCCTGAGTCCTGGGATTATAGGTGCATACTACCACACATACATCTAGAAATTCTTTAAATTATTTTTCCTGTTTGTTTGGTTAATCTAGAATTATGTAGAATTATGTCACAGGAAAAACAAACAAACAACCCCACAAAGGCCAGTTTCATTGATAATCAGAGAAATGTAAATAGAGACATTAATAATCAGAAATGCAAATTGAGACATTCTTTTTAGTACCAATTTCAAGTGCCATTCTGTTTGTGAGAAAAGCATTCTGTTATTAATGGCAAGGCATGTTTAGGACACTGTAGCTTTCCTCCTCAAAAATTTAAAGTATAACCTAAATGTGCTCTGTGTCAAAGTGCTGGGCCAAGATATGTTTGAGGGAACATGCAGAAACACTTTATGTGAACCCATACATTTGAGGTCTTTGTGATAGTTTATAATAACAGCAGGAAACTGTGACTGTTTAAACACCGTGGAAAGATGCTAGGTAGCCTGTCAGCTGTGGCTCCAGGCTCTTGCAGGCTGTGGTGGTGCAGAATGAATCTGGCTATATTAGAGGCCTGGGGACAGGTACTGTTTATGAAAATGGGAACAGACATTGCAATTGGGTGTGCAGGGGTGAAGGGACCTCTCTTCCATGCAGTGGTGGTCCCACATGTCTCATAGCACAGAGCTTACAGAGCACATCACATGGGAGAGTCTGTGACTGGTCACACTGGAGGGGTGGAAGAGGAGCATTGATGATCTATTAGGGCACTCTAACATCCACTGAGGCTCTGATTGTGCTCAAAGTCTGTTTTGTTAGACTGAGATGCCATGTTCCTCTGTCTTCTGCTCCTAGTTGGTGGCGGCCATTGTGTTTATCAGCTTTGGTGTGGTGGCGGCATTCTGCTGTGCCATAGTGGATGGCGTGTTTGCTGCACGGCACATCGTGAGTACTACCTTCGACTGGCACACAATTGCTCCCCAGGACTCAACGTCTATGTGAAAAGCAAAATTGCAGTTGCAGAACCCAACTCTGACAGCTTCATGTTGGTCTCAGCTGTGCTGCCACCACTGCCTTCCCTTCTCTGGCTGTGTCTGGTTCCTGTAACTCAATACCACTGCCCTCCATAGGCCACATACACATTACACAGCACACACAAGTAGACAACACAGACAGCAGACACAGACACACCACACACAGCAGGCACACACACACGACACCACACATAGCAGACATCAGCACACTATACACAGCAGACACAAACACATACCACACACAATAGGCACAAACACATATCACACACAACAGGCACAAACATACATCACACACAGCTTCTGGTATCCTGCGCAGTTGCAGTCCTGTTGTGGATGGATGGCCAGAGTGTTGGTGAGGCTACTGGAGTTATATTGACATCCCAAACTGCCACCATATGGGCAGGTGGTGTCAGGACTCCAACCTCACTCTCCACCATCATCTCTCCTTGGAGAGTCCATGGGTGAGGGGAGCTGGGTCTTGCAATGTTAGTGATAAAGGTCCTGCAAGCCTGACATTCCTGAAGTGTCCTCAAAGCCTGAGAGCCAGCTCTGAATTCGAGACTACAGCCTCGGTCTCTGCTGCCCTCCCTCATCCTCTAATTGTTGTCACTCCTGCTCCCTCACGAGCCACCTGGGACCAAGAATCTGCCTCCCCTGGGTGAATCCACCCAGACCCAGCCTGGCACATGAGTGCTATGCCCTAGCCCCAACTGCTGCCTAGCGACCCCGAGGGACTGTCCTTGCCCACTACCAGCATTACTGGTGATTTCTAGACTCCTCTTAGGTCAGAAGTAGCAGTGCTATAAGAAATGCCACTGACGCATAATATTGATCCCAAAGGGCATTTGCAGATCACACAGTTCTGTGGCTCTTTACAAGCCTTGGGCCCCTGCTGTCTTTTGCCATAGCAACCACCTCTTTGTTTATCTATGGCTCTGACTTACCTTGGCTTCGTCATAGTTCAGCACTGTGTTGAATCCATGCATGTTGGAGACAGAGGGGTGAGGACATAGTGGGACAGGACCTTAATGAGCTTATGTCAAGTGGTGGGTAGGAAATATGAACAGATGGAAGGATAGGTGAATAGGTGAAGGATGAATGCATAGATGATTGAATGACTGGATGAATAGATGGATGGTTGGATGGATGACTGAATTAGTCCCAAATCTTTTTTGTTTCCTTCCTTCCAAGAAAAAAAAAACCCATTTTGCTTTTAGGAAGAGACAGGAGCCCAACATCCCTTCCATGATGTAGAATAACCCTTAGCCTGTTCATCAGCATGTCCCTCCTGCTCCCTGTGCTGATGTGCACCCAGCAGGTAGATGGAGGGGCCTGTAGCTTCTGCTCTGAAGCCTTTTGGATACCACGCACAGCTCTTCTGTTGACAGGTGATGGCTGGTATGGCCTCCATCCTGTTCCAGTCCCTGGAAGGCAGGACTGAAATGGCCTCTGGCATTCCTGATTGGAGATGATTCCTGATATCATCTGCATTTATTTCTCTAGGAACCAAGGCCTCTCAGTGCAGGAAGGTGCCAGTTTTACTCCAGCGGGGTCGGGTACCTGTACGATGTCTACCAGACAGAGGTGAGCATGGCTTACCTTTGACCAGCATGTCCCCCCCCCCCAAGTAGTCTGTGTCTGGTTAAAGTGGCTATTTCCATCCTCACGGATCTTCCTGCTGTCTTTGCCTGAGGGTGTTGAGGCATTGAAAGCTTGGAGCTAGTTTTGACATTTCAATGCACTGTGTTTTTGTTGGAATCACAGCTGCAGACTTGCTTCTTTGACAGTGTTGGGATTCATCTGTCCAGTTCTGTGTGTGGTCTTTCCAATTAGCATTTCCACTGACTTAATTACTACCACAAAACACTGGGATAACACATGTACACTGTTCAAGGGGCTTTCTGGCTTTCCTTGGGCTGGGGACAGCTGCAGTGTGACCTCACTCTTTAGCTGAGTGAGACACCAGGAAAAATGAATGCACACAGCAGCTGGTCTGTGAGACCAGTCCAGGTGGGCACTGGCATATGGCTCCGTTAGGGTATCCTAAACTAGTGTTATGATTTGTTGGTTTAACTAAATAAGACTGCTCAAACTGAGTGCCAATACCAAGGAGGGGGCAGAAATCTAGTAGGGAAAGAGGGTAGATGACACTCAGTCTGTTCTTGGGTCTCCAGAACTGCAGATAATTGAAAGTGCATGTACTGGACATTCCAGAAAAGAGGTGTTTGTGTGTTGTGAGTTCAGGGGAGTGTTCTAACAGCCCTGCCATGCCCAGTCCTGTTCTGTTCAATCCTGGCCCAGTCCTGTTCTGTTGTTATCTTCCCAGTCTTGTCCTACCCTTCTTTTCCAAGTCCTACCCCGTCCAGTCCTGCTCTGCCTAGTCCTGTCCTGTCCAACCCTGGCCCTGTCCTGTCCTGCCATTTACTTCCAAGCCCTGACCTGTCCACTCCTATCCTTCCCTGCCTGTTCTGTCCTGTCCAGCCCTAATCTGCCCAGTTCTATCCTGCTCTGTCCTGTTCTGGGTCAGGGAGGGTCCTGGCAGCCAAGCCCTACTCTTGGGAAGGGGAAAGTTCTGGGCCCTCATGGACCTGCCTATCTCTCTGCCCCAAGGTCACCTGCTACTCCTTGAATGGAAGGTGCCAGCTGAAGGTGAGGAGCAATACATGCTATTGCTGTGACCTCTACACCTGTGGGAGGTAAGGCAGCCCCACAAGGTAGCATGTGTCATTGCACGTGCATATACCCATGCACACACGTGGATACACACATACACGTGTGCACATGCACAGTTGAGACTCTGAACAGGACATCTGGTCATGGTTAAGAGCCCCATTCCCCTCTTCCTATATTCCTGTTGGCATTTCCTCCTCTGGACCCAAACTGTCTCAGTTACCCTAAGACATTTACCTGAGAGTTGTCTCATTAACTCCATTTCACTATTGAGAAAACGGATGCTCAGAGAAGTTGATTTTCCACCCAAGAGTACACACAGCATATATCATGGAAGTGTTTAAGCCTGTCCTGGCCTCTGGTTGCTACATTCCTTGATATGGCCACCAGGTGGCAACCAGCATGTCCCAGATCTGCTCTCTGTGAGGGCTGAGAACCCCTATACCTAGCCCAGAACCCCAACTTCTTTTTTTTTATTGAAAGTATTAATGCATTAAAAAACTTGTTTTTGGTCTTTTTGAGACAGAGTCTCCCTGTAACCCCAGCTGTCCTGGAACTCACTATGTAGACCAGGCTGGCCTTGAACTCACAGAGATCCACCTGCCTCTGCCTCCTGAGTACTGAGATTAAAGGCATGCGCTACCATGCCTGGCCAAAATATTAAAAAAAATATATTTTATTTATTATTTTCATTTAATGTGTATGAGTGTATTGCCTGCATTGTCATGCAATGCCTGTGAAGACAGAAGAGGCCATCGGATCCCCTGGAACTGGAGTTACGGACAGTTGTTAGCTGCCATGTGGGTGCTGGGATTTGAACCCAGGTCTTCTGCAAGAACAACCAGTGTTCTTAACCACTGTGCCATCTCTCCAGCCCCAGCATTAATACATTTTTTTATTGATTTTTTTGTGTATTTCATACAGAACATCCCAAACAACAATCATCTTTATACCCGCATCCCAAATGGCACCGTCTCATAGTCCCCCCCACCCCATGGAGCCTATAGACTCTGTCATCCCTGTTACTGTATACTGTGTTGTTGGCGCCCCCAGCTGTTCCCCAGTGCAAGTCCATCTTCTGAGTCTAGTCAGCCTATCTAGAGTCCCTTGTTTTAGGAAGATCAACTCTCCCTCATCTAGCAGCAATCAGTTGCCAACATTCCTTTAGATAAGATTGGGGTCTGCTGTTCATTTTCCCAGTTCTATCCTGGGTTACTGTCTGGGAGTCTCTTGGGCCACCCTGGCCAACAACTCAAAAGAAGGTATCTCCTATCTAGCATTGTTACTTGTTATGTAGCCTTTAGCTATGCATATGGACTCTTAAAAAATTATATTGGCCCCTTTACTCTTTGGTTATACTTTCCTTTTGGGTGTTTAAGGCCATACAGTTGGCCCAAATAAACCAATTTATTTTTACTCTTAAGGTCATTTGAGGATCTGTTCCTCGGGTCACATAGGCTAGGGAGGAGCCTCTGGCTCCTTTCTTTTACCAGTTCCTCCTATGTGAAGATAAATCAAAGGTCCTGCTGGACCATGGCTGGCTTTACTTGGAAGCATGGAAGAAATGTTTCCTCTGTGTTGACCCTCCTCTTTGGAGGCTAGACACTGGCTCAAGTCCATCTGGTGGGATCTCCATGGCCTCCCTGATCAAGAGGACAAGTGACTCACCACAGTTACAGGACATTTTGAGAGGTGCTCCGTAGTGCACTGGAATTTAGTCGATCTTGGAGGGCAAGGAGCAAAAACTATCCTTTAAGTCTCTCTGACCAGATTAGTATAGGCCTCAAAGTATGGCTGTTAAACATCTAAGAAGGTTAGAAAGTTCCACCAGTCTGGTACTTTTAATTACCATGCACTATGCAGATAAAGTTTGGGCACAAAACCAAACATTCTCAGATAAATGTTGACTAGACATGTATTTTGTTCCTTGAACTAGTTGTACGTATAATTGTCAGTAGGTTGTTGGACTAATATGGTTCCTTCTGGTTTTTTAAAACTAGCTAGGCATTATTTATCTCTCTCACTGTCTAACCCTTCCACCAATGGGTTTCCCCATTTAAAGTACCCCCATTTTTCCCATTTCTCCCTTAATAATACCCTTCTCCTATGGTCCCATCTCTCTTGAGCTCCTTCTTTCCCTTTATCCCCAAGGTTCCTTGTATAACCCTCCCCCTCTCATTTAAATAACCCCACTTTTATCCATATCTCCCTCGGTAAAACCTGTGTCCTACTGTTCTCTCTCAGACAGAACCCCAACTTCTAAATGAGAACACAAAATGCTTACTTGTCACTCTGGCATGAGGAAGATGGAGGTAGCTCAGCAACCACCCTGGCTAGCTGTTGAGGGCCCAGGGCTAGTGAGTTGGAGTGCTCTGTGTCTACTTTCTGCCTTACTTTGAGACCAAGGTGGAGCCTCCCTGATCAGCCCCACCAAAGATAGATGGATCCTTAGAACAGTGGAGAGGACTCTAACTTGTTTGAGAAGCTTTTCACCCACTGGGTGGAAGGGGACAAGAAGTTAACACTAGAAAAGCCAGAGGCCTGGGGCACCAAGAGCCCCAGTGTTTGTAATGCATGGTGTACCACTGCCTCTCATGGTCTAGCTGTGGGCTCCATGGCCCTTCAAATTCCTCATATGCCATCCACTGGAAATGTCCTGCAGGTCTCTGGAGGAACCTCAGTGCTTTACCATAGGTTGGGCTATGACCATCTGCTATGCTTTCTGGAATGGCTGGGACCACGCTAGAGTGACCATGGTGGGGAGGCCAAGGGTTCCAGTCTGAGTGATGTCTTCTTGGTGCATTGAGAAAAGTATTACCATTCAAATGGCCCCTCTTAACTGTCTTTCTGGATCTGCAAGGGTTAGTATTAAAGCAATGGGGTTGGGAGTTAGGGCTAGGACTAGCTGATGTTGGAATTGGGGTTTAGCATTAAGATTAGAGCTCGAATCAGGGTTTAGCATTAAGATTAGGGCTAGACTCAGGGTTAAGTCTAGTGTTAGGGTTAAAGTTAGGGTTATTTAAGTTAGGTTATGGCTAGGGTGAGGGTTAGGGCTTGAGTAGGGGTTTGGGTTAAGGTTAGGGTTAGAGTTTGGGTTAGGGCTAGTGCTAAGTCTAGAGTTAAGGTTGGGGTTAAGCTTAAGGTTAGGAATAGGGCTAGGGTTAAGGTTAAGGTTAATGTTAGGGGTATGGCTAGGGTTAAACGCATGGCTAGGCTTCAGATTAAAGCTAGGGTTAAGGCTTTGTTTAGGGTTAATGCTAATTTAGGGTTATGGTTTTGGTTAAGGCTAGGGTTAGGAATTATTAGAGTAATGGTTTTGGTTAAGGTTAGGGTTATTGTTATGGTTATGATTAGAGCTAGCTTAAGGTTTGGTGTTAGTGCTAGCGCTGGGTTTAGTGTTAGGTTTAGGGAAAGGACTGGGTTTAATAGTAAGATTATTGTTAGCATTAGGGTTAGGGTTAGTGCTAGGGCTCGTTTTGGTGTTAGGTTTTGGGTTAGGGTTAGGGCTAGGGCAAGGGTAGTGTTAGGGATAGTGCTAGGTTTAGGATTAGGATTAGTGCTACGATTAGGAATGGGGCTACTGGTAGGGATAGGGTTTGTGTTAGAGTTATGGCTAGTGCTATACTTAGCACTAGAGCTATACTTAGGCTTATGTTTAGGGCCAAGGCTAGGGTTTTGTTTAGGATTAGTTTCTGTCATGATTGAGGTTAATGTTAGGGTTAGCAGGACATTGGGGCTTACAAATAAGGTTAGGGCTTAAGTTAATATTGGCTTGGCATTGATTTTATTGTTTTTCTTTGTTTTGTTTTGTTTTTTTTTTTTTGTTTTTTTTGGGGGGTGGTCTTTTTGAGACAGGGTCTCCCTGTAGCCCCAGCTGGCCTGGAACTCACTATGTAGACCAGGCTGTCCTTGAACTCACAGATATCCACCTGGCTCTGTCTCCCAAGTGCTGGGACTAAAGGTATGCACCACCATGCTCAGAGGCATTGATTTTAGGTTAATGTTTGCCTTAGGATCAGGTGAGGGCTTGGGTTAGGGTTAGGGCTACAGTTATTGCTAGGGTTAGGTTTATAACTAGAGCTAGGGTTATAGTTTAGGCTATTGGTAGGCTTCAGGGTTGGAATTAGGTTTAGGGTTAAGGTTGGTCAGAGTTAGGATTAGAGATAAAGCTAGGTTAGTGTTAGGGTTAGGATTTGGGTTAGAGTTTAGTTATGATTAGGGTTAGGACTAAGGTTTGGTTATAGTTATGATTAAGGTTAGTGCTGGGGCTATGGCTATGGCTAATATTAGGCTTAGGTCTAAGGTTAGAGTTACTGTTAGGGCTAGGTTTAGGGTTGGTTTTTGTGTTGGAGATAGAATTAAGGTTAGTGTTGGTTATGCATTTGATGTTTAGGACTAGGGTTAAGGATAGAGTTAGATCTATTGCTAGGTTTGAATTAGGATTGGTATTGGGGTTTGGAGTTAGGGTTAAGGCTAAGACTAAGGTTAGGTTTAGAGGTGGGGTTATTCTAGAGTTACTGTCAGGGTTGCCATTGGGGTTGGGCCTTAGAACTAGGTTTAGGGCTCTTTTTGACTTTCAGGCTGTGTATTCAGTTAGGGTTTAGTATGGGACTAGTGCTTGGGTTCTGGTTAGGATTGGAGTTGTTATTGGGTTGGGGTTAGTTTTGATTGTGGTTGGGGGTTTATTTAGGGTTAAGTAGGGCTAGCTCTAGGTTAGGTTGCATTAGTGTTAGGGCTTGGGCTAGGGTTAGGGTTAGGGTTAGAATTAAGGTTGGCATTGGTGTTAGAATTTATATTTGTTTACCTTTAATGCTAGGGTTCAGGTTAGGATTGGTGTTGATGTTGGCTTTAAGATTAGGGTTGGGGTTTATTTAAGGTTTTGGCTAGGTCTAGGATTATGGTTAGGGCAAGGGCTAATGTTAGGGTTTGGGCTGGGGCTACATTTAGGTTAAATATTGGTATTTGGATTGAGATTATAGCTAAATTCAGGGTTTTTTTTGAGGGTCTGGGATTAAAGTTAAGGTTAATGCTTGTTTTTAGGCTGTTGTTTGTGGTTAAGGTTTGGAATAGGATTAGGGTTATGGTTATAGTTATATTCTAGTTTGCTTCTTTGTTGCTGTGATAAAACACCATGATCCAAACCAACTTGGGGAGTGTCCTAGTTACTTTCTATTGCTATGATAAAACACTGATCAAAGCCGACTTGAGGAGGAAAGGGTTTATTTTACTTTCAGCTTACAATTATTCATCATGGAAGAAAGACAGGGTAGGAGCTCAGGGCAGGAACCAAAGTACAGGTCATGGAGGAACGCTGCTTCCTGGATTGTTTCCCCTGGTTTGCTCAGTTACCCTCCTTATACATTCCAGGGCCACGTGCCCAGGGATGGCACTGCTCACAGTGGGCTGGACTCTTCTGCATTAATTACCAGTTAAGAAAATGTCTCACAGACATGGCCACAGGCCAATCAATGGATGAAATTCCTCAACTGAGGTTCCCTCTTCCCAAGTGTCTCTAGTTTTTGCGTCAAGTTGACAAAAACTAACCAGCACAGGTTAGGACTAGGGCTAGTGCCTGGGCTAAGATTAGGACTAGGTTTAGGGTTAAGATCAGAGTCATCATCAGGGCTTGGGCCATGGATAGTGTTAAGTTCACAGTTGGTGCTGGTGTTGGAGTTAAGGTTAAGTTTTTATTAGAATTAGGGTTAGACTTAGAGTTCAGTTTAGGGCCAAGGCAAGGGTTAGGTTTGGGTTTGACATCGGTGATTGGGTTAGGGTTAGAGTTAAGGCTAAAGCTAGGAATAAGGTTATGGTTTGGGTTTAGGTTCTGCTTGGGGTTGTAGTTAAGTTTAAGGCTATGGCTATGGCTTGGTTGAGCACTTGATTAGGGATGGGTTTGGGTTTTTGTGTTACTTTTATGGCTGGGGCTGCCTCTAGAGGGTGGTTTGGCCTTGTTAGGAGTAGTTTTGGGTCCAGGGTAATAGAATTCATTTATTGTTATGGTTATGGTTGTTGTTTGAGTTTGAGGTATGTTTAAGATCAAGACTATTTCTAGTTTTAGAGTGATGGTTGGAGGTTGTGTTTATCATTTCTGTTAGGTTTAAGGCTACTGGTAGGGCTTATTAAGCTTACCCCCTGGTTCTTCCAGAATTCCACAGATCCTTCAACGGTCAAAGTGGACCAAGACCCCTGGGTTTCTCTGGAGTAGAAGCTGGGATCTTATTTAACACCTGTGCTAACTTCTTCCCATCACCCTTCTTTGCTCCAGTAGTGATGCCCTTGACTATGGCTCCAGTCCATGGGACTGGTTGGCTAGATATAGCTCTAACTCAGCAGGGTGGTCACCTGATCATTATGTGGTGCTGGACTATTGCCTGGTCACAGTTTTGACACATAGGTTGGTCACCCATCCATGGATCTAGCATTCAAGGGTGGTCATGTAATCATAGATATAACACTCAGGGTTGTTCACCTGACTATGGGTCTAACACTCAGGGGTGGTTACTTCATTGTGGTCTGACATACTGTCACCTGGTCATGCTGTGGCCACGAGGGCAGTAACTTTGTTCTCCCTCATGCAGCACAGAACCCTCACCTACCTACTATGAGTTTGTAGGTGTGCGCAGCTGCCAGGATGTGGTTCACCTGTACCGGCTGCTCTGGGCGTCTACAGTATTGAACATCTTGGGCCTGTGCCTTGGCATCATCACAGCTGCAGTCCTGGGGGCCTTCAAGGACATGGTGAGTAGCGTCTTACACTTGTTTCCAGTGCCTTTCTTTCAAGGGAGCTCAGCAGCTTCCTTGGCAGAGGAGGACCAAGGGCTCCTGGGTTCTACAGCATGTTAGATGGCAAATAGAATTATCAACCTTTGATGTACTTGACAACTGTCTGAATTCTCTCTGGCCCTCTGAGGCAGACAGAACTTGGTCACCATCTAAGAACAAAGCTCAGCTGCAAAGTTACTCTGTCATTGTAGGGTTCATTATTTCCTGGTGGATCTGGGCAGGGCTTGGACCCCATTTCAACAAGCTGGATGAAAGGTTGAAATCACCCACGCCTTCTCTCTGAGTCAGCCCTGCTGAACTTGACTGAGAGTTGTCTTTTCATGGCTGGGTAGAGTCTCCCTTTTGTCCTCCTAGAGCACTTCAGAGGTGCTGCCAGGGCATACAGAAATGACCCTGCCATTCCCACAGGGACACCCTAAACCTCGTGTTAAGTAAGACAGGCCAGGCACAGGCAGGCAGAGTCCTAAAGCAGGACTAAATCCACCGGGCTGTAAAGCACTTCCGGTTGGTTCCTCTTTTGCTAAGTCCTGCTGTCCCAGGGGCTTTGGCTGTTAGCCACTCCAAGCAGCAGTCTGGAGCTCTCTTGAGCTCTGCTGCTCAGGCCCTTGTTTCTCAGGTTTCCTGTTCCCGGGGACATCTGGAGATGCCTTGGGAGGCCCTGAATTCCTGCACTCTACCCCTTGGGTTCCCCCAGGCTGCCCTCCTAAGCGCCAGTTCTAGGTGGTGACTCCAGTCCAGAGACCATGTATGTGGAAGAGAATGGCAGGACTTTCTGTGAAGTCATGAAGGGAAGATTGGCCTAGCCTTTATGGCTTGGGTAGGGCTCCCAAGAGGGCCAGGCTGCAGGTTAGGATACTGCTTTGGGTAGGTTTGAGGGTACAATGAGTTGGGTTGTCACCTCTTTCTCCACAGGTCCCTCTGTCTCAGCTGGCCTATGGTCCATCCCCACCACCTCATATTCTCTACAACCCTGCTCAGCAGATCCTAGCTTACACTGGCTTGTGCCCTCCATCCATGACCATGCCAACATGTTCCTCCTACCCTTTGCCTCTTCAGGTAAGTGAGTGTCACCTGCCCAGGTCAAGCATATCATGGAGGTAGTGGTCATTCCTATGGGTTACTGGACAGATACGGTAGGACTGTGGGTTGAGAAGGATGTGCACTTGGGCCTCCCCAGTCTGAACCAGGTGATGGGAAATAGGGACTTTATAGGGGTCATGTCATTTTGGGGGCTCATTGCCATCCATAGCCCTAGTAACCAATGAGAGTGTTCTTTTAGCAGCTGCTTTTTAAGCCATGAACTGGCCCCATGCAGGCTAGAGGGAACGAGGAAGCTGCCAGCTACCTGGGTTCCAGGTGCTTGTGAGCCAGTGAGTGGTCTAAGTGGAGCCATGTGCTTGCCAACATCTACTCAAATTTATCTACAAAGATGGCAACCCTGTTAGGACTCATCTGCCCAGCGTTGCAGATCCTGGGACCATCATGGGAAGACAGCTGTGACAAGCTCCTTTGGTACAGGGCCTTGCTGCTCCTGTTTCCATTCTTGGCTTTGGCTTGTTTATGTCCCAGGAAGTTCTTGCAGACATCAGTGAAAAAGCTCCGATTGCCAAGAGGTATTTTTGGCCTTGACAATGTGTTTTTAGGGCTATCATCTTCTTGGCTAAGCATCCTAACACCATGAGGTGTGGAGTGGGCCCTGACTTCTGCTTACCTATGCAGAGACTCCTAGTCCAAGAGCCAAACCATCTGTAGACATTGCCCAGTGTCCCCTGGAGGCAGGCTGAGAACCCAGGTCTAGACAAACCTTTCTGGATGGGGTGGTTCCTGCTCATCCAGCTGTGCTGGTGGGTGGCCTGTCTTACCAGCACCACCAGTAGCAATGTCAGTGCAATATGATGCTATGTGATTCTGTGTTCTGCGGATCCTGGTGAATGTGTCAGTGCACTATGCTGTTCTGTGTCAGTGCACTATGCTGCTATGTGAGTCTGTGTTCTGTGGGCCCTGGTGAATGGGATTAAATCTTTTAAAGTCACATGTCCTTGGGCATCCCCCAGAAGACCTGAGTCCATTAGCCATACAGGTAGGAAGTGCTATTTTGCCAAGCAAAAATGATTGTTTGGGGAGGACATCAGTGTCTAGCCTTGACCATCTTGAATGGACAGGGCCATCAGGGCCCCAGGACTGACCCAGTGCAGTCTATAAGCAGGTATGATCAGCACCTGAGACTCTTGTGACCATGTAGGCTCTACATTTGTGAAGTGGGGGCTGACAGCGTGTGAGTTAGAAGAAGGCATGTCCAGGTCCCAAGAATGTAGTCTCCTGTTCTGTAGAGCTGAGTGGTGCCATGGCTCAGGACAGTCTTCTCTCTCTGGTACCTGGGAAGGAGCAATGTTGAGTATCAGGAAATGAGATGATGGTGGTGGTCACTACAGGGGCAGGTAAGTCAGTGGCACCAGCAGAGGTAGTTGCAGCTCCAAGGCCTCCACCTTCCCCTGGAGATTTCTGTACCAACTTCAGAGATGATCTCCCTGGTCCCCATCCTAGGAAGGATGCTGTTACCTTGGGCTGGAACTCATCCTGGGACTCTGCTCTGCTCTCCTGGTCTTATGTGGGAGTTTGTCAACTCTCAGAATAGTTTCCAGGTGGAGCTGGTGAGGATTCCTCAGCTGGTTTGGCTACCTTTGGACACAGAGACACAAAATCCCACAGATGCCAAAAACACGACTCTAGGGCACAGCCTGTGCAGGCTGGTGTCTTCTATCAGAACACTTGATGCTCCACAGGGGATAATGAGAGAGAAATGTGTGGTTCTTTCGGCTGCTTGTCTGCCTGGTGCCTAGGACCTTTGGGCCAACCCTGGTGCCTGTCTGTCTGGAAGGTCTGGCCCAAGGGAGAATGAACAGCTGTGGAGGGGCCACCAAGTTGCCAGCATGACCTTGTTAGGGATGGCTCTGACCTTGGGTTGGACTCTCCTGCTAAGTGGTAGCCTGCTGTCATGGAACATGATTCTTCATGACGTGGTCTTCCCTGTCCCATGTGGAAAAGGATGCACCCTTGTGGTATATAAGAGACAGTCCTTCACCATGAATGTACTCTGTGGAAACCTAGAAGGCCACCTGCCAAGTCCCATGGGTGGTTCTTCTTTCCCCACCTTCTGGGGCCTCTGTGTTTCATAGACAGTGGGCACTTCCCTTCCTTCCCAGGGAGGCCTGGATCCCCCACCCTGTGGGCTGAGCAGCTTTCATCTCTAGCATACGTGGGAGTGCAATTGCACATATGCTAATAATCAGATTTCTGTGAACCAGGCACATCAGATGAGCCCCATGTGTTTCCTCAAAACAACAGAATAGATGCCGTTTCCACTGGCCAACAGAGACGGAAGGAGATATTTTAAGTGTCCTGTTGAAATCATTAGCAGCCAGGAAACATCCCTGCTTAATAGCAGGAGTGAGAAGGCTGTGTGTGGGTGTTTTGAGCAGTTAGCCAAAAGGAAAACCTTAAAGGGGCTGGTGCCTACACCCAGAAGCTTGCCCAGCATGATACCTGAGGTTAGCCTAAATGGTATTGCTAAGGCATTCTTGTCTATTCCCTGGTGTGGTCACCTGTGGACAGGACCGCCCCTAATCAGGCCTTATCCAATGAAACGGTTTCATCCATGTTTCCTGGGGTTGAGTCTGTAGTTCCTCGGGGCTTCTCTGTTCCTAGGTGGTTTGCTCTGTGGCTCCTGGGGGGTGTTGCTCCATAGTTCCTGGAGGGCTTGCTTGCTCTGTGGTTGCTGGAGGCTTGCTCATTGGTTCCTGGGGGCTTACTGTGGTTCCTGGGGTGGGGGGTTGACTATGGGTTCTGAGGGGCTTGCTCCATGATTTCTGGGGGCTTATTTTATGGTTCCTGAAGGCTTCCTTTGTGGTTTGTGCGTCTGCTTATTTTCGGAAAAAAGCAGAATGGAGAGTGGGCAGCTCCTCCTAGTATAACTAAGAGAATTATCTTCAGAGACACACTGGCCCCTGTAGTCAGAAGGATGCACAGGATTGAGGGAGAAACAAGAAAGAATCCTGAGCTGGCAGTTGGCGTTGATGTAATAGTCATCTCCAGCAAGGATGACATCCCCAGCTTTAACTCCTGTGAGGAAATGCTTTTAGGATGGATGAGCTGACTGATCCTGGCTCCAGCAACGGGAAGACATGAACAGGTCAGCTGATTACTCAGAAGCCTCAGACCCAGCCAGCAGGAGCATCACATAGCACACTGGGAGGTCACTTTAAAAACTCACTTTTTTAGTTTGCTTTAGTTATTTAAATAAAGATTTTTAAAGGAGTTTTTAAATTCTAGAACTTAAGCAGCAGTGGGGGAAGATTTATTGGCTGAGGGACCTCAGATCTGTGCTGTTCTACAAACTTCTCATATCATACTCACTCTTCTTTGAGTCTTCAGGTGTCTGTGGGGTCTTCAGAGATGCAGATATATATACAGGAGAGAGGGAAAGAGAAATTTATTTTAATCACTGACTCTCTCGATTGTAGTGGAGTCAGGTTCTGAGGAACCAGGAAGGCAGGAGGCCAGGGAAGAGCTGCTGGGACTAGAATCCAGTCATGTGTAGACAGAATTCCCTTCTCACTCGGGGGTCTCAGCCTTTATTTTTCAGACCTGCAACTGCAGCCCAGAGTAGGGATGATGGCCAGCTTACTCAAAAGTCACTGTTGAAATGTTAATCACATCTGAAAAATACCTTCTTTAAACTCTTGACTGTGGTTGACCAAATATGGTGACTGACACATATTAAGACTGTATTGGAAATGTTGATGGTCTTGTTCTATTTGGTGAGTACCAAGGGCCGGCTGCAGGTTGCCTCTGGTACTCCCTGTCAGAGCTGGTGAAAGATTTGCACCGAAGTGGAAAGAGTGGCCAAGGAAGTCTGTGGAGTTTTGGAGACCTTCCTCTGCTGTCCCCAGCAGCTTTAGAAGTTGAGTTTGTGCCAACAAGGTTCCAACTGGGCTGACATTTGTCCTTCCTGCCAACCCCTCTTGGGGGCTGGTGAGGCAGGAGACCCGGGTCTGGGAGGGTGCTGTGCCAAGCTGGTCCTGGCATGTATTCTGGACAGTGTATAGCTGAATCCCACCTGCTGACCCAGGATGCCTCTGTTTACTTACAGCCCTCCAGTGCCCTGCCAGCTTCGTCCTCTGCTGACCTCGCTCTGCCTGAAGACACACAGTCTCCTTCCCAGTGCAGCTCCAGCCATGGGCATCCTCCCAACACCCCCTCACTCTGCACACCAGCTTACTTTCTCCCAGGGGAGAAGCCTCCTCCTTATGCGCCCTGACATGGAGGCAGTAGACTGAAAAGTAACTTGGTTTGGGGTTGTCAAAAATAAAATAAAAACAGCAAAGCCAGGGGTGGAAGCAGAGCCAGCTGACGGTGGTCCCATGGCACCTCTGCTGCCTGCCTCTCCCCCTGTGAAGACCAACAGCAAACTCTGCTAGGTCCCAGCCACATCACCCAGATGAGCTGCTCTGTGCCTGCCATTGCTCATGGCCCAGCTTCATCCCCACCATCCTCTTGGTCAGTTATTAGTTGCTATTATCCTGCAAAAGGGACAGCCAGGCATTTATGTGAGGATTATTCCTTCAGGAAATGCATTACAGATTGACAGACTTCTGTGCGCATGCCCCCAAGAAGGGATGGCCCCATCCCCTGAGTTGTGCTCTCCTGACATTTACTTGAAGGAAAACAAGCTTTGTGCAGGTACCCAAACTGCTTCTAGAGGCCTGAGAGCACTGCCTCCATGCAAACTTTGCCTTGTGTTATATTTTCCACCATGAAACATAAACCGCCACCTACCTGCCAGAGGCCCTGCATCTGAGCATGTACCAGTGGTACCCTCCTGATGTCAGAGTGCCCACCTGTGCCCCAGCAGCCTAGAACCTACCTGCCTGCTGAGGAAGCAACAGTGGGCCTCTAGCCTCTGCTCTGAGTGGAATGGTGGCAAGGATGGTCCTAGGGTCCTTCAGCTCAAGTCTAGGGACAATGTGTCCATAGTAGACTGAGGGCCTATCATGTGCCTGTGTCTGCCAGACATGCTTGACAGTGAACACTCTCAGGAATGGTCAGATCCTAGGTGGATAGGAAGGAGACCCTGAAGGAGCTCAGTGAGGGGTTGGATATGCCTCACCTCAGAAATCTTGGGGTGCAGGGGAAGACCGACATCTTTGGGAGGACAGGTCCCTAGAGGCTTTCCAGGCCTCTCCAACCTGGAGAGGCATCACGGGAGCAGAGTGTGTGTGGGGGGTCATCTGGCTAACCTCGGTCCTTCCTCTTCCCCCAAGTCGTTTTCCCTTCAACCTTCCCAGTCCCTATGAACCCTCATAGGAGTTTACAAATCTCTCACTCCCTTCTCCCTGTGGTGCTCTGTACATGTAATAAACTTGTGCACTTCTCCCCTGTTGATTTGTGGTTGCTGGCTTATTCTGTGGTGTGGGTACTAGGGCCTAGCCTCCCTTCTCTGTAAGGTCAGGGGTGGAGGTCCAACGTGTGAAGATGAGACTGCTGTGCCCCCTGCTGGTCAGGACTACCTCATCCAGCAAAAGAGCTCACAAGGCAGGCTCCCACGTGGGTTTTCTAAACAGAGGGAGTTCTGTATGAAGGCCCACAACGTGTGCTCACACAGGAAGATGACAGACCTGTCCATGGAGAACACGTGCTACCAAGCTGGGAGATAATCACTGGTCCCTGAAGGACTGAGATGGCCACTGGCCTGCTACTCGCTATCAACATTTTGTTAAATTTGGCCTTGTAGCCTGAGAACAAAAGGCTCTTGGTTTTACCTTGGTGCCATCTGGCCTTGGGCCCAGCACAGCTTGGCCTCCGTACAACCTCCAGGAGACCAGCCTCCTCATGGCCCTGAATCAATATCAGATAAGATTCTGTGTATTTACATGTTCCCCATGGGAAACACTAGGATATTCCCTGTCTCACAGGACCACAAGTTTCAGAGAAATTTGGAAAAGTTTTTTCAGAATTACACTTGGATGCAGCAGTCAAAGATCTTTTTTGGACCTTGGAGGGCCTTGGATACTGCTCCTTGACTGCATCAGGGGTCAGGAGTCACTTGGCCCTGCCCCTGCCTTGCATCTATCCAGGGTGCACAGTTAAGCAGTTCTCACAAGGGACACAGTATGGACATGGCCACAGTGCTGGCTGTGGAAAAAGGCATCCCATGCAGTGAAGGCAAGATCCCATTCCTTGTGGAAGTGAGGTTCAGGATGCTGAGGATGACCAGGGGCACTGAGACATGACCTTGGCAAAGAAACACAGCCAGGCTGCTTCTTCCAGGCTGGGACAAAGGATCTTCATCAGTGTAGCAACAACACAGTGAAGAGCCAGGCTCTGGAAGCTGCTGGAACAAAGCTGGGATTCCAGAGCATCAGGGCCTCAGTGGTGCAGAGCCCCATGGTCTCCTCCCTGTCTATTCTCATATTATGGCACACTACTAGTTTTGTATTCAATGGTCCTCTGTGTCATGGGCACATTGGGTTTTACCTCTGATATCCCTAAAGCTGGCCTCAGGGTCTCAGCAGAACAGCAAAACTAGCTGTAGAGGCATCACCCATCCGAAGCCAACCTGACCAAAATTCTCAAGAATCACCCTGCACACACCAGATGCCAGTGCAAGTCAGACGCATGTGGGGCTGGATGAGGCAGAGTCAGAGAGCTGCTCTAGACTGTTTCCCCCCAGCACTCTTGAAGCCTAGCCTTGACCCCACACTTGGTGTTTTAATCTTGCCTACAGCCAAGAACTATTAAGAAATATTGAACTCCAAGGTCAACATTTTTGTTCATGGCCACAAAAATGTCTTTCTCTCTCACCCCAGTCATGGAGAATGTGAGTTCCCACACCCCAGTCTCTAGAGCAGCCTCCACCCTGACACTAGCCTGCAGTGTGGGCAGATGCCCTGACTGTGTTCTTGCCTTTGTGTGCACAGGGCTGGGAGGCCAGATGGAGCACTCACGCTCAGTGACTGCTGGTTCATCCCTTGATGATTATGTCTCTTTGTTGCTTGAGGGCCTGCTCCATGTTTGGCTTTTACTCTGGTTGGTGAGTTTCAAATGTGGCCATCCATTCTGTCACTGAATCTATCAGTTGTATCTCTTTTTGGATTGACAATAGATGGGGCTATTTCTAGGTCTGTGCTATGGCAGCAGCTGATTACTCACATGGGTGTGCATGGGCATACATATGGTGAGCCGCGCCCCATTGAGGAGAGGCACTGGCTTTGGAGGCTGAGATCTTCTGCCTTACCAGATCAGGATGACTGTGGCGGGACCCTACTTGTGATATCGCTCTGCTTCTCAAGACCTGGTATCAGACTGGTAATGGATGATGTCAGCCTGTGGGCAGGCCTGTCTGTGCATATTCCTTGTTAAACAGCAGAGAGCCATTGCAGCAGCTACATTCTCTGTTCTACAGGGTCTGCTTGGGTCTCTCGCTTGCTTTTCTCTTGGGTGGTCATTCTACCTGGTAGATTTGTAGGAAGTCATTGTCTATTCTGGACATGAGGCTTTTGATCCTGTGTAATGCAAATCTTCCTGTTGGAGCACATAGCCTTCCTTCATTTAAATACATGATCTGTGTAGGCTTTATATATTTTGGGAAATAAGAGTCAAATGGTCTTCTGCCCTCAAGCAGTGGTTTCTAAAGGGTGACTTTGCTGTAAGTACCTTTGGAAAAATCTGGAGACATTTTTCTTTGTCAGAGTATGTGTCTATGAGAGGGTACAATGGAGCCTGCTGGGGGGAGGATGGGATGCTGTTAAAGGTCCTATATGTGCATGAGAGTCCCCCAAAGAACACAACCTTGAGGGCATGCTGAAAACAAGTGGCAAAACTCTTCCTGAAAAGAAAAGAAGAAACTTTGAAATCAACTCAGATCATCAAAGTCAGCCATAAAATCCATTCTACCTCCTTCTTCCTCCACCAAGCAGTTGCTACCATCCCTCCTCAAATTGTTGTGGTTCCTCTCAGAGCTCAGTAGTTTGGCCATCTGGACCCAGGGAGCAAGGAGTCCAGGCTGGGCTGGCAGACACGTCATGCCTTTGTTTGGCAGAAGACCTGGTGCCAGGCAAGGCTGAAGATGCAACAGCAGGAAGGAGAGGTTTCTATGCGCTCCCCAAACGTTGCCTCTCCAAGGCGAGTAGGTAACGCCAGAGATGTAGCTGTCCCCTGCGTGTCTGTGTGGCCTAGGCCAGAGCCAGCATTTGTCTTCCTCTGTTCTTGGCCTTATGACCTTCTGGAGAGAATTGGGGCTGACTGGAGGGCATTCCATGAGAACATTCTGTAAGAACATTCCAGAGCTGCTTCCAAAGCAAAGAAAACCCACTAAAGGCCTAAGGGATGCTGCATCACCAGTTGGAGGCAGATCTGGCCCCTCAAAGGCTGTGAGCTCCTGGGGCTGCCTGAGGACAAACAAGCAGTGAGGGATCCCCAGGGTCCTGGGCAGGTCTGCATCCACCACCTTCTTGGAGCTGTGCTCAACAGTGCTACCCCGTTCTAATCTTCAGCAGGGCTAACAGGCTTCTGGGGTCAAAGAGTCAATGGCTCCTCCATCTCCTCTATCACAAGGAAACCATGGCTCAGAGATATCGAGCAAGCTGCCGTGTTCCTGGGTCTCCTACTGTTGGCAAGTGTAGCTCTCACAGCTCTGCTCGTGGCCGTGAAAGAGAAGACCAGGCTTTTCCTTTTAAATGGAACCGGAGTAGCCAAAAGAGGTGACTGGCAAGTCCAGAGAGATGGGGAGAGTCTATGCAGGTGCCAACTTCATGCCGACAACTCGTAGGCACAGTTTTAATAGGGGTTCTATGTGTGGGGGTGATGGCATAGCCAGGCAGGCCTTCATCTCCATTTGTAGTATAAACTGATGCTCTGCAGCTCACTGGTGAACCTTGGCCTCAGTCCCTGCCATCAGCCTTGTGAGGACAGGCCCCCAGGGCAGTCCACAGCTACCTGGCCTGGGACTCAGGGTAGCTTCAGGAAAGGCCCAACAAGAAGCAGAAGAGGCTGTATTTTGGAGCAGAGACCTTCTTTGGGTATGGGCCTGTGGCACTGCAGACCTCAATGCCCATTTAACCTGAAAACAGCTAGGTGTTGGAAAACCTCCCAGATCAGAAAATGGCCAACACAGGGTTAAAAAGGGTTTTGTAAATATTTTATTGTCCATATTTTAGAATCAGAAAGAAGCATGTGGTAATAAAAATAATAGAGAATTATTTTTAAGTCCACTCTGCTGTGAGCTGCTGGCCGTCCCACCCATCCCCTTCTAGCCAGCTCACATTGGGCCAAGTGGCTGAGTGAGAAGCCCCTGACCTAATACCAGTCTCACTATGTACAGATATGTTACAAGACAAAGAGAGATCTCAAAGGAAACAGCCACAAGGGTGGCAGCCCACCTGCTCCAGGAGCTGGTTCTGGGTGTCCATGCCTCTGCCTCCCTCTGTGTGGAGGAAGGTGTAGAGGCTCTTGATCATGGGTGCTGGAGCAGCTTGGTCTAGGGTGTGATGTGTTCCACAGGTGGGCAGGAGTGTGAGGTGATGTCACTGTGCTTATATGAAGCCTCATCCAGGTCCAAGATCTTCTGGTTCACCTCCAGTGTCATACAACCTCGGTAGAACGCCGTGACGGGTGCAGAAGTCACTGGCACATCTGAGCAGTGGGAGACCAAACACTAAACAGGCTGAGATCTGCCAGGGAGCTCCACCCGGCACCCTCTGCGTTGCTTGTGGCTAGCCCTGCCTACATTCCTGGCAAGGCATTTATTCCTCTCCACATTACCACCCAGACCTGTAATGGCATGAAGCCTCTTCACCCGCGCCCCCTACCCCCAGGCATGCATGCAAGATGGTCAGTCCAATAAGGGGTATCCTATCATCCTGTAAGTTGCTAGGCTTCTGGGCCTCTGGCTCTCAGACTCCTTGAAGCCTTATTGGATAAAATTATTGGCCGTCAGGGCAGAAAGTCTGCTTTTTGTTCTAAGTAGAGACCTGTGCATAGACTTGGGCCTCTCCATACCTTCAGCTCAGGCCACAGGCAACGATGTTCTAGTTCTACCCCTGGGCCTGTGTAAGCAAACAGCATGCTGCTGGCTGCCTCTGCTGGCTTCCCTTGATGGAGGTAGGAGGGGCTGGCAGCCACTCTGTCAGCCTCTAAGACTGCAGATGCCTGGAACAACTCAGGCACCCAACTCTCACATCACCTGGAGTCCACCAATCCCTGCCCCCATCAGCCTCTGTTTGCTGGGCTCCCAGATAACACTCCTCAATGAGTGACTCTGGATCAATTCTTGCTTGGAGGCAGGATTTAGGCAGCACAGAGGCCAGTGAATAAGGTCCACCTGCATTTCCAGTTCCTCTAATCAGAGTCCTTTCTTACAGTCAGCATCACAGCCCATGTGTGAAACAAGGGATGTCTACTGTAGAATCAGTACAGGGAGCCCTACCTGGCAGGCCCCCAATGAAGGTGAGTACAGAGCCTTGCAGATGTGTTTCAAGGAAGGCCAGCCTCTCCTGCAGCTGGGCAGCGCTCACTTCACTCTGGCCCTTGGTGCCATCCACCTCCAGTGTGGCCTCGCCCTCTCTCACAGAGACAGTGACCACATGCTCCTGGCTATCGCACACCTTGATCTCCATCAGTGCCAGAGCAACATCCTCGACTGCTAGGATTACCAGCTGCAGGAGACACCAGAGCAGTGATCAGGTGACAGAGAAGTATAGCGCTTACACAGGGGTCAGCATATCCCATTAAAGGCCTAGCCAACCCTCCTCTGGTCTTCACAGGCTGGCTACCCCCACACTAGCCCCTTCTTAGGGGTAGGGTAATCCTACAGCCCTAGGTACGAGGAAGCCCAGGAACCATGGGGGCCTTTTCCATACTGGGACTCAGATTCTTTGCATGTAAAGCATATATAGCTGGGAGGAAATAGAGGGAGATGACACAGCAAAGTCCCTGGACAGCTGTGGGGACTTGGGCTATCCCTACTCATCCAGGGGGTCACACCCAGCCTGAGCTGGCTTCTCAAAATGGCTGTAACAGGATGCAGGACATTCTGTCAGCTGCAACCTTGTAGTACCAGCACTGGAAAGGAGCACACCTCACCCTCCACCCCTCCTTTTCCCTTGGGTGAACAGCCTTTGCTCTTGGCTATTTATCCCTGATGCTGGGGATGGGTCTGGGTGCTTGACAGCATGTCGCCTGGTCCCCTTGGTGGTATGCATCATGCAAAACAACCCTGTTACTGTCTAGTCCAAGTATCCAGAAGGGCTCTATGGCCTGATCAGATTGGGATAGAAACCCTATGGTTTGACCTACACTCTCCTCTTTGGGACACAGAGGAGAGAGGAAGACCTCATTTAATAGCTTCCTGTTCCATAAGAAAACAGTGGAAGTCAGTGGCTCAAGAGGACTGACCTGACCTGGGGAGCCAATGGACATGGCAGGAGCTGTGTATGAGGGAACCAAGGATTTGCCCAGTATTGCCAAGATGGTGTGCCATGTTAGCAGGCCTGACTTTGAAAGAAACTTGAAATTTCAGTTTGGTAGTGACACCACCAGACTCTCATATGAGTCACAGCTCTGACTGGGACAGCCTACACCTGAGGTCCAGAGAGCTCATTGTGAAGTTTCAGACCCTGGCTGCACCACCAGCCACCTTGGCCAGCACTGGTTTTGCTTCAAAGTTGTTCTCAGATGATTACATGGCAGCCTTGTCTCCAAAGCCAGGGAATGCTACCCAGCTGTGTGTGCTCAGACGTGGGTAGAGACTTTGGGGCTGGGAAAACTCCCTCCAAGATAGGGAAAGTTCAACAACTCAACATCCTAGAGAGTGGGGTAGACCTCAGGACCTCCCCTTGCTGGTTATGTTGAGGTGACGCTGAAGCACAGGGATAGAATAGGGATCTCACAGGGTTTGCACAGACGTCAGAAATGTTGCACAGGGGTGGGTGTCCTAGCCAAAGCTGGCCTCATATGCTGGCCATTCCTGTGGTTCCATTCAGCCCTACCTGTTTTTTCAAACTTTTAATTTTTATTTATTATTTTTATTTTATGTGTATGAGTGTATTGCCTACATGTATATAAGTGAACCTGTATCATGCAATGCCCAAGGTGGGACAGTTGTTAGCCACCATATGGGTGCTGAGAATCGAACCCAAGTGCTCTTAACCGCTGAGCCATCTCTCCAGTCTCCCACCTGTTTCTTGAGTTTCTTTGTGGAGTGGTAGTCAACCAGGGCCACAGAGAGGGGAACAGCATGGTTGTCACCCACTAGTGCTAGCAGCACCCCTGTGTCAGTGGCAGGGCGAATTCGAGCCACGACTTCTACTTCCCAGGTGGTTTCAGTCCCGACGTCCTGCGATGTTCGGGCTGCAATGAAAGCGGCACATTATAAGACAATACAAATGGCGGAAAGGTGAGTGTGAGCACAATGAGTACCAGCCAAGACCGGAGTGCCATGAGGGACAGTTCTGCATGGAACAGCTCTCCATGGGACAACTCTGCACCTGCTCTGGGAAGGGAACTCGTGGCAAGTGGGCAAGTGAGGAGCATACAACAAGCCTGTACTTTTAGGACCTGCCAGTGTTTCAACAGACAGCCTGAAGCAGGAAGGTGACAGATCGCCAATGCTGTGCTCAGCCTGTCAGCCCTGGGAACTTGGACATGCCTGAGGATGGCTGCTCCCCCACAAGGACAGCATCAATGGCCACCCACCTCCTCTTGTTCCCACTTCCCCTCCCTGCAGAGTTCATGTTCAGCACCTTCCACAGTGCATGTTGTGACCGCTGTGCTAACCTCCCTTCTGCCAGTGCCAGGTGATTCTGCACAGTAGAAATTGATTGAAGAGTTTAGGAGACTATGAGAATGGGAACAGATCCTGTGGTCTCTCCAGAAGTCCCCAGACATAACTGTGCTCTACATTCCAAAGCCTCACAGAGTGAATCACTCCCACACCATACTTGTAGGGGCCTTGTGTCTATGATGTAGCTCGCTAACACTTCATGTCACCTGCAGCTTAGGGTATACAGCCTGTATTCCACACCATGTGCGGGTTCTCCATTGATTACAAGGCCCGAAGAAAACCTCAGTCTTGGTTTTTAAGTCTTTACCTTACTAAGAGCTCCACAGTGTGGAAGGAGCTGCAGGCAGAGGGATTGAATCAAGGTTGGTGCAGACTTGGTCTGCCTCACTGCTCTCTGCAATGGGCGGGCTCCCAGTTTTCCACCCACAAGTGCCTCAAGTCAAGTCCTCTATGTATGGTCCCTAGCTGATGTCCACAGGGGTCAGTTCTAAGTAGTTTATTGAGTAAATGAGTATGGATTGCAAAAAGTAGGAAAAACACTTTGTGAAGGATGAGGCAAGTGCACCCTTCCATGCAGGTCCCTTGGCGGATGCGCCACAAGAACACCAGGCTTTACCTCCCTGGTAAGTTTTCTCAGCATGGTGACTCACTAGGCAATATAACTCCCTCTCAGACCCTGAGGCGCAGGGGCCCAAAATCACTCTCAGTGACCGTCATAGGTTAAGAAATTATAGGCTCTGTTCAAAGGAACCTGGGGCCTATGGGCCTGACCCTCTGCCTCTTGGCCATCCCTGGACCCTTAACTGACTTTAGCACAGTGAGACTGGTGGATTCAGGTTCCAGGACCAGCATGTCCACTCCCCAAAGAGGCAGCCCTCATGCACCGCGCCCCCCCCCACCGCCTCCTCTGCTAGGTCCTGTCCTTTTGAGGGCACCAGCAAGACACCACTTCCCCCAGGCTTCTTTCTGATTTCTCTCCTTGTGGAACTGCCATAGGGCCCATTTCAAGGGTGCTAAAGGCTGGCTTTACCTGTCTTAATGCTTCATCCCCACTTCCTCCTCTGAACTTTCTCTGCTTTCCACACCTGAGGTCAACAGCACCTGTGCAGCCACACCTGTCCCTCATGAAGTCACTGGCAAATGCAGGTTGGGCATCTTTCTGAGCACTGTTGCATGTACTCAGACATGTCCAAGCTTGGCCTCTCAGACTTTCTGCCAGGTACCCCCCACCCCAGGCCTGCTCGTCTGACCAGTCTGTCCCTTTCTGGCTATTAGACTATGTCTCCATCAGTTCCTCTTCTATGGCTAGCTCTATAGGGAATCCAGATGGTTGTACTGGGATCTGGGCCTCACCCATCCCATTGAACCCTGCCTCAGCCTGTAGGCACCAGCTGATCCCAGGACTCATAGAGATAGGAGCTGTTTGTCTGGATGGATGCTCACACGTCAGCACATACCTGGCTAGAAGTCCCATCAGAGCTATCCCCAGGGCAACACCCACTTACTATAGCTGAGACTGTAGAAGGCAAACGCGTTCCCCGGGAAGAAGGCCCCCCTCTCTGTCACAGAGAAGCACTGCATTTTCGTATTTGCCTTCACCGTTTCCTGGATGGCACTATCTTCCCCATTTAGCCAATTCCAGCTCCTCATACACCCATCCAGGCGAGGATTAATCTGGAAAGACAAATTAAATCTGGTGGCTTCCTGAGCCAGGACACGATGAGTGGGGAAGAGGCCACAAGTCTGGCACCACTGGACCTGATGGGCTTAGGTGTGTGGAAATCTCTACTTGAATGAGTAGATACTACAGAGGGAGGTTATTTCACAAAAGTGCACTTCACTTTTCAAAACCTTTCAGGACACCTGGATCCATGCAGGATGAAAATAACATACATGACACTGGGGCAGCCATCTGTTCTGTCTGCCTGGTTTCCCCACAGTGGTCAGAGGAGCAGGGCATCTACTACCTGATTACATAGGTGGGGAGCACTTTACTGTGATTGTGCCTTCCCTTCACCTTGGAAGCATGTCTAGAAAAGTCAGCCCAGAGGCTAAGGATGCATGTTCTCGCTTGGCCACATACGTGCTGTGTGGTTCTAAGCAAATCAGGTCACTCTGGTTTTATGTGTTACAGAACTGCAACAATATGTTTGGTGTCATCCCCTGGAGACCCCTCGAATGGTGGTTGTGTCACTCCATCAGATGCTAAACTGGTTTTCCATCTGGAATAGATGTTGCTATCCCAAAAGCAAGGGTTCTGACCACTGGGATCAGAGAGGTAGGGACAGAGACAGCGGCCAAGATGTGAAGGCGAGGCTTAGGGTCAGGCAGGACTTTGAAAAACTACCCCCTAAAAGTCCTCCTATTAGAGCTTTTCCACCTATGGAAATCTTGGTAAGGATAATAACCCAAAATGCTTTTGAGAATTGTCCAAAAAGTTTATTATTCTTTTGGTTAAAAAGTAATTTGTTTCATCTTTACCACAAAATAGACTACTATCAAGTTAGATGAAAACTTAAATGGGTATCATGAAGAGACTGCCAGCAAGGGACCCTCTGCCTCCTCACCATTGACAGATGTGTGCTCAGCTTAAGGCCAAACCCCTCCAGGCATGGCCAGGCCTGAGCTTGATACATTCTCCGCCCATGGTTAGGGATGGACACTTACAGGCTGGACAAGGTCGTTCTCCTTGAAGGGAATGCCACCCACAGTGAGATTCAGGTGATATAGGCCTCTCTCCAGCTGGAACAGCTCTCCAGCTACTGCGATCTTCATCACAGCATCTTTATTGACCTTGATCACAAGGTTGCGTTCCAGCTCCTCCACAGAGATCTGAAGGGGGTTAGGCAGTAAAGTCAGGTAGATGGCCATTTCTGCAGGACCCCAGAGCATGTCATCTATGTCAGGTACAACAGACCTCAGGGGCCCATCCCATGTCCTCTGTGTCCAGGAACCTGAGTTCATGAGACCATGTCCATGTCACCTAGCCCAGGAACACCTGACCTTACAGGACCACACCCACATCACCTGTGTCCGGGAAGAGCCTGACCTCTCAAGACCATGCTCACGCTCACCTGTGCTAGTCCTCCCTACTTTCTTGTTCACAGTCACTGCTATGACTGTCCTTGTGAGATCATAGGTCAGAACTCTGAAAGTGGAGACAAGGTCCATTGTATGCAAAGCGTAAGCCTCTCCCACACAGTTGGGATAAAACAAAAAAACCCTCCAATTTGTTACAGAAGACTTCCATAGAAAGGTCCCATTGCTGCTTATGCTGGTTTAAAGGAACCAGAGAGCTATGTCTGATGTGGCGTGAGCTCAGCTGTCTTTGGTGGCTGCTTTCAAACAGGCTTAGAACTTTAATTCTAATCCACCCTGTGCTGGGCAAAGTGACATGAGAGAACTCATTCTCTCTTTTGAGTAAGCTGTTCTCCATGCCTGAGGCCTTGGGCACTGCAGAGAGCAAGGAGTACAATTCTCTGTGGCTTGTGTGGCTGTGTGGGGGAACTTCCAGGCTACAGGTGGAATTTGACCCCAGCTGAATGCTGGGCCATAGCCAGAATGAAGTCTCACACGAACTCCATGTTTGAATTCTTCTTACCATATGTGACACAATCTCAGTCTCAGTAACAGCCCAGTGGAGCTTTACAGACCTAACAGTTACACCCCAGGCTCCGTGTCCTTGACCACAGACCACAGCACAAAGGGTGCCATGACCCTCACAGGCCACATTTTGAACACTGGCATGGCCCTGGCTTCTTTGTAGACTTACTACCAAGCTAAAAGTTTCTGATTAAATAAGTTCCTTTTTTTTCAGTTTTGACCCTAGCAAGTGAGACTGCATGGGAGGAAGGCATCAGCCTGGGCTGGACATAGGCTGTATGTAGGTCTCAATGCTGCAGGCCCTGGGCTGGTTTCATCAGAGATGGCAATGGGTCCTCTGCTGCCTAGCAGGAGGACGAGGCCTGGGACCAGGAGCAAAAAGTATAATACCTGACTGCCCCTCACCCAGTGTCATGTTGACACTGAGTCAATGCCCAGCAGTGGTCAGATGCCCCTAGGATACCATGAAACAGCCTCTCATAGCAGGGAATCCCATTCGAGAAGACTTTCATCCCTTCAGAGGGTAATGCAATACTCGCTGTGCCCAAGGTGACCAAGTGTACATGGTGTCCTGGTGGTATACACTGTGCTCAGTACGAGAGAGGTACTTACTGAAGGCATGGTCTTTGTTATAGGAGAAACCACTTAAGAGGTTAATTAACTTGCTCACAACTGAGGTGTCAGGTGGTCAACCATCCAGGACAGATCCCAGCCCAGCCTGTACTCCTGGCCTGGAAAGCCCATCTAGTCACCACAGCTGACTGCAGCTAGGTACCCACTATAGTTCAAGGGAGGTGAAACAGTTCTTGTGAGAGAAGAGCCATTACTTCTCCACCTTCCCACAGTTTTCACTGGCTTATGGCTTTCTATAGAAGAAACCACAACACTCCTCAGTACAGCCTAGGCCTGAGCATCAGCTCACCCTGGGTTTCCCCTCAGTGTCTACTCAACCTCCTGCCTCTGTAGCCTACACAATCCCCCATCTCTGTGGCCTATACAACCTTCCTCCCCAACCCCACTCCCATGGCCTATACAACCTCCCTGCCATCCACAGGGAGCTCCAGGCCCTAATGTACCTCAAAGAACAGTTTCCTTTATACTTACACTCATCCCTGAGGTAACCCATCTCAATACCTCTGGACTCACCCTCAGCTCAGCCAAGAAGCTGCCTGCCTATATCACAGCTGTCCCTGCACTACTGCCTTGATCTCCCAGCCCTCACAGCTGACAGCAGAACTTAAAAAAAAATTTCTTAATAGCTAACAGTTAATTGAGAGTCTGACATGTAGCAATATTGATCAAGTAAATTCCTAGGAAAGTTCCCACACAGGAAAGCCTGTGAAGGTACACTAGGTATTATTCCTATCTTCTAGAATATTAAGTGTCCTTTTGGCCGAAGTAGAAACATCTATCAGAAAAGGAGAGTATGCCGTGCTGTGGATGGCTGGACAGAAGGTACTGGAAGGGACAAGACTGGTTTCCCTGGGCTCCCATACTATTATTGAACCATGGGTTCAAGGTGTGGCCCAGGCAGGACCATGTCACAGTGATTGCTCCTAGCCAGCAATCCTGCCTGGGCCCCTAACCCATGCTTGTCCCCATGGCTATGTGGAGGGCACCCTCCCTCTGGGCCTCTTCCTTCTTCATGGGCACCTCACTTTTCTGCTTTGCTCTAGGGAGGACCCCTTCCTGCTGCAGAGACCCTGGTCTCTCTAAATTAGGAAGAGGAACAGATGACACTTGGCTAGAGATGATAGACATCCACATTTGTCTGAAGAGTTGGACATGGGTTTTCCATTTTGTCTTTACCGCTAAAGGAAAAATGGTGTCTTTCTGTTTCTCTTCGAAACATTGCTTCCCAAGCCCATTTTACTGCCTGGGAAACAGGATGTGAGTCCAAAGTTGAGCAGCTACCACCTGAGTAGGAGGTCGCTATGTGTCATCACAACTCCAGTGACGGCAACAGCCAGAGTTGGGGGCAGAATCCTCTGTGGTCAGGGGACAGGCAGTGAGCCGGGTACTGGTGGCTCAGGTTAATGAGTGCTTTGAGCTGGGCTGTCCTTTGTGGTGTCCTGTAGTCCTTGGGCATCCTCCCCTTCTACAGCTGTTCTTGTGTTTCCTGGACTGATGCCACATGCCTTCACATGAGGCCCTTTTGGAGGAAGTCATGCTCAGTCACTGATGATGTGAAGAACAGCTCTGGGCTCCATGCTGGGCCCTGAGTATATAAACTAACTAGAGTAGACATCCTGCCCTTGGGCCACATTCACTGTCAAATGCTCAAAGGATAGCCTTGGCCCTCCACTCACCGTCTGCCACATGCCATGGTTGATGACTGGGCCACTGCTTGTGACACGCCCAACACCATTGTACCTCAGCTGCAGCTCAAGCCGTCCAGCCCTTAGACCCAAGATGATCCAGGTACTATCTGAACGGCCTCCAGCAAAGAAGAGGACCCCTTCGGGGTCAAAAGTTCGGAAGTCAAACTCAGCCACCAGCCTGTAAACAGACCCAAGAAACAAAGTGGGGCATAGAGCAAGGTGGTGCAGGGCTGCCCAGTCCCAGGGTTCCGGTGTGTCTTGGCCCCCCATGACACTTTCCAGAACATGGGAAGCTGGTTCACTCAGAGATCTGGGATTACTCTAGACTCCTGGAGAGCAGGAGGGCTTAGCCTTCTCACCTGGGTCCTGCTGTCTTGTGTGCCTGGCTTCTCACCTGGTGGGCTGCAGCCTCTTGAAACGTAGTCTGATCACAGGGGTTCCGCTGAACATGCGGCCCAGGTATAAGGACTTCACACTCTTGGCCATGCTGAAGGGCACACATGGCAAGATGTCCTGCCATGAGACAGGAAGGTATTGGGAGGGACATCCTGTGGCTGCCTGTTGCATAACTTTGAGGCCCTGGCCATATGGAGGAGGTCCCTCTGACCCTTCAGCACCCCAGGGAGAGCACACCTCTGGAAATCCCAGAGCCTAAAGGGCCCATCCCATGTTGGTGCCTCCAGGCCGAGGGCCAGGGTTCTGAATTCTCCCGTCACTTCATTTGTCTTGCTAGTTTTTCTTTGGTTTTCATTTTTAAATTATGAAATGCTTAAAACCAACAGAAGAGTACAGAAAACCATAGAAACTCATTATTGGGTATACTGTTACAAACTGAACAGAACATGCAAGTCTTGAAGACTATGGTTCTAGAACATTCCTTGCCCTATGCTACAGTTACAGGCTACAGGCTTTTCCACTGACCAAAGAAAGGATGGAACTAAAGTACATAGAGCTGATCCCCTGGGAGAGCTGAGGGACAGAGGGATCTTGCTTTGCTACACTGCCAGCAGGGAGCTGAGGCAGGGGCCACAGAAGCACCAGGCCTGTCATTCCTGCATCCTCAGGAGGATACCATTCCATGTAAGAGGATCTCGAGGCAGAGCAGCTGGTTGGCCTGGACTTCAGACCCACAACTGAAAACTACTGCTGCTGCTTCCCAGGTCTGTGACTCACAAAGCCATCATGGCACCTGGTTACCCTGAGTCCTTGCTGCTGTTTTTCATAAAACACCATCAATGCTCAGCTTCTCTGCAGTTTCTGTAGCCTGATACCAAGCCCTGAGTGAATGGTGTGTGTGTGTGTGTTTTGTACACATTTCACACTTTGGGTCTGTACTGGCAGGCCAGATAGCTGAGAGAGGGGAGTTGCTATGGAAATTTCATCAACACAACCAAACATTCCACAACACAGAAGCTTGGCTGCTTGGCCCTGGGAACCAGGAGCCTTCAGCTAGCCAAGCCTCTAGAAATGTTTCTTTCACAACCTCTGATCGTGGTAAGGGGTTCCACTTGAAGCACTGCACTGGGATCCCTTAAGGTATTGATGAGGCCATCTAATGGGCACTAGGGCCACTCACCTCACAAGTATCCATGTCTGGGGACAGCTTGAGGCCCCCACGCCCATCACAGTGGCAGGTATAGCTGCCTGGGGAGTTGACACAGGTCTGCTCACAGCGTCCTTGCTGGCACTCATCCACATCTGTGGGCAGACAGATCCATGATGGGCATGGGGAAGGTTCTAAATACTCTGAGCAGTATTTAGAAGTATTTAGGACTATTTAGGCTCTAAATACTCTTCTTCCCCAGAGGTATACTATAGACATTATCAGGGACCACCTAACAGGGCAGGTTCCCCCACAGACCTGCCTCTCAGGTCTCTGCTTCCTAGAGAGAAATGAAAGGCTACAGACGTCTGAGGACTGTGTTCAAACTGTGTGACTGGAATGGAGGGAGCAAGGGTGATCCTATGTGTTGTGGGAAATGGGGCAGGAACAGAATCATCTTGACTCCTCAGTCCCATGTTCCCTTTCTCGGGGTTCAACTCTTCTTGGGGGCTCCACAGCTATCCCTCAGGTTCCCTCATAGCTTCAGGAAAGAGTGACTATAGGGGGAGCCTGGATCTGCCCTCAGGACATGGTGGGCCTCCACAATGACAAGAGCTCACCTGCCTCCCCAGCCTAATCTACCATAGGTGCACACAGGGCTAGGAAGAAGCCCAAGTCTGCCAAAGAACTCAGGGTCTTCACTTTGTCTACTGCAGGCTAGAGAAGGACAAGCACACAGATGTGTGAGGTGTGTGTGCATCTGAGTACACACTAGAACACGTGCACATGTGTGAGAGCATTGTGTATGTGTACACATGTGTAGGTACAATGGTAGATGAAACCACAAAGGGGACAAGATAGAGGGCTTGGTTCACAGGTCTTCTTCAATGATGGTACAAAGCAACTTCCAGGAGGTTTGGGCCTTTCCCAACCCTCATGTGTGTACAATGGCTTCCCCGAACACTGGACTGATGGTTGCCATCAGTGCAGTAATGTATCCCACACTTAATGCAGTAACCAACATGTGTCTTGGGCTAAGAGGCAGAAAAGGAAGAAAACGGGGTGCCTGTGGCATGGGTACCTTGGCAGGCCTTCTCCTGGGAGCTGTATGTGTAGCCCTCGTCGCAGAGGCAGGAGTAGGAGCCTGGCAGGTTCTTGCAGCGTGCCTCCCCACAGGTGTCTGAGTCTGTGCACTCGTCTACATCTGCAAGCAAAGCCAGCCAGGCCAGGGCTGTACAGGTTGGTCTGGGACAGCTGCAGCGGCCACTGGGGCTGGAGGGTGAGAACAGCCCCAAGACAGAGGAGGGTGGAGACCAGGAGGAGGAAGGTGCATTGCCTTCACCATGGGTGTCAAATGACAGTAGGCTAGAGTCCACACGGTGTTCACCCCATCCTGGGCACACTATAGATGGTGTTGCTCAGGGTCCACCCAGCAGGGTGGATCTCCTCAACCTGCTACTAAAGCATAGGGGCTATGTCCCTTGGTGAAGGCCAGGGGCAAAGCCATGGGGGTGGAGGGGTGTGCTTCTGTTCCTGGAATGAGGAGGACATAGGAGGGGAGGGGAGGCCTATGTATTTCCATATGCATTTCCTATACATTTCACATAGGTCGGAGAACACAGGGACTGTCTGCGCCTTCCCATATAATCACACCTTCTAGGAATATGGCCTGGGATTGTCAGAGGTGGTGGATGAAAATGGAAATTATGAAAAGGGAATAGTCATTTGTCTGATCAGACTTGTGCTTTAGACCTTGAATTGTGCTCATCCCAGTATCCATCTGGGCTGTGCACACAGGACCTATGGCCCAGTCCTAGTGAGTCTCAGTTACTCAGGGACACTCTTGGGCACATCCATATTGGAGGGTGGAGGATGGTCTCCTCTACATGGTTGAGTGCCATTCCTCTATACCTGACATCAACATGGGGATAAGGTGGGGGGGTGTGTTTAAAATGACTTTCTGGGTGTCCTCTGGCTCCCTGTTCTGGTTTGGACCCAAGGAACTCCAGAGCGGAAATGGGACTACACAGTGGGGAGGGCCCATCTGCCTCTGTGTTCCCAGGGCAGAGTGGAGGAACAGTGATGGGAAGGTCTGGGAGGTGTAGTAGGTGCACAGGGGGACTGGGGCCTGCACCTTGCTGAGCTTCCTGCAGTCACCTGCAGAGGTCTTGGTTCTGGGACTACATAGGATATCTGCAGGCTCCATGGGCTGGAAGGAACCTGGAAGCACCAGTATGCTTGGGTATCTCCAGCCCTTGCCCTTGCCCTCAGATATGGGGAAACTTTGAGGGGCCACACTGCTGGATGAGCTGTCTCCAAAAGATGCTCATCCCCTCCCCAGGATGGAGATATAGTCAAGGTGCAGAGCTCACAGGCAGGGCCTTACCTTTGCAGGTCCTGCTGTCTGAAGCCAGTGTGAAACCACTATGGCAGGCACAGTGGAAGCTGCCTGGTTTGTTGTGGCAGACCTGGCTGCAGCCCCCGTTCTTCTGGCCACATTCATCGACATCTGGACATGAAGACAGAGTTAGGGGCTCCTCCCTGGGCACTCCCCTACTAGTCTCATGGTGGACAAGGTGGATAATGTGAGGGCCTGAGAGCTCTGAGCTACTGTTGGTGGACACAGCCATGGACTCAGGTACACAAGGGACAGGGTGAAGGACAAAAGGGACCTACCAGTGTTCAGCAGCCATGAGACCCACCTACAGCCTAGCCTGGCACCCTGAACAGCTCTACCCAGACCGTCTGTAGGCACAAGCTGGGCTGACCTGAGTAAAGGGCTTGGCAGATTTCTGGCATCTTTCTTGCAGCTTTACCTAAGTCTCATACTTTCATTTGAGTGACTCAATGTGGGGCCCCTGTATGTGGGGCCCTTCATTCTAGCCCGGGTCTCAGAGCAGCCTCCTGTTTCCCCAGTTCTGTGGAAGCCTAGCTCCTAGCTCAGGGTTGCTGCATTTGGGAGTTTCTCATGCAGAGTAATGTCCCACCCTGGACCTGACCTGCCAAGGGTCCCAAGAAGGAGGCTAGTATGGCCAGGGACCAGCTCCCAGGAGAGGTTATAGCTAAGGCTGAGTTCACAGTCACGGATGGGGGTGAGGAGTGGATAGGGCAGAGTGAGATCAGGGAGGATGGGAGATACAGTGGAGAGGCTGTGGGGTCTCACCTTTGTCACAGAGCCGGCCTTCCCAGCCCGTTCTGCATAGGCAGAAGAAGTTGCCCATGAGGTCATTGCAGGTTTGGGTGCCCTTCTTATCACAGGGGTTCGGGGTACACTGGTCAGGCAGGTCTAAGTTGAAGGAAGCAAAGGAGAAAATCACCCAAAGCTTCTCTGAAAGCTGCCCACACAGTTGGGCATGATCAGAGCCTCTGGCAGGGCCCTAGGAGGACTTCTGAGGGGGCCTGACACAGGCTAGGCTATGAGGGAGGGTTCCCATCTTGGGATAGGAACAAATATGAAGAACTGGGACCAGTTCCAGCAACATCACCCAGGTTTGCTGGTAGGGGGTAGCTGTCACTGGGCCATGTGGAGAAAGATCTGCTGAGGACCATGGGCTCAGGCTTCCCAGGAAATGGGTTCCCCAGAATCGTTGGAAAGGCCTGGGCACCTTCTCCCCAAAGGACACAGCTTTGGAAGAGCCAGAACATGTTGGGAACTCCAGGCCCACCACATGGATAGGAAGGCTCTTTTAGGATCCCTCCCCACCAAACACACAGCATCTCAGCACTGAGGCTTCAGGCTAGGTGCGCAGCGGCCAGCAGAAGAGGATGCAGGGGTGGCTGAGCCTTGTTTTAGCCTTTGGCTTATTGGCCTATGGTTAAAATACCTTCCAATGTCACTGCCCTCTAGGGAGCACCTCTGGAACACAGCCTGAACACTGCCTTCAGTGGGGGCAGGAAAGTTCACCATGACTTTCAATCCCAAGGTTGGCAAAGTCACAGAAAGAGCCATTATTATGTTCAGTGCTCAAAGAATCCTTTCAGAAGCCAAGCAGATGCAGGCACGGGCCAGAGTGCAGGAGGCCTGGACCCTTCGTTCTATACCATCTGAAGAATCTGTGGCCTGCCTGGATGGGGTGAGGGGTGGGGTGGCTCCTGTCTACCAACAGCTGGCTAGTTCTAGGGGTTCGAGGGGCACACAAAGGGAGAGGGGAGAGAGTCATCTGAGATTCTCTCAAGAGGTGACATTTCCTGGCCCTGAACACCAGACAGTGTTCAGACTGGTCTTCCACTTAGACTGATAGTCTATCACTCAGAGCTGTTTTGCCACCTATGTTAAACATCTTGATGCCACCCTTGTTTCCTTCTTGGTGTAAGTCTACTCTATCCAGAGTCTGACACTAAGGACTGGTGCTAGGTTTTCACTGTTAGAAAGTGTGGAATGGGGCTGATTCCAGACAATACACCTAGAGCCCTGATTGGAAAAGGGTGACCAGCCCCACTTCTCTGCTGTACTCAAGAGTTTGGTTACTACCATCCGCTGTTCAAACCCTAAGTCTGCACCAGGGGGCAGGAGCCAGGAAAATCCCACTTGGTCCCTTAACATCAGCCCATGCCTCACGTGGGTGATGCTCCTCTCTGCCTGGCATCCACCTGGAATTCTCGGGCTGCCTGCAGTGTATGAAAGGCTGAGACCTAAGAGCTGAGGACCAGCGGGAGGCTGGGGCTGCCCTTTGAGGAAGTAGCTATGAGACAGGTGCTCAATTTCTCTGCTTGCACATGGTGAACAGCCACTGTACCATGATAGTTCATATCTGACTCATTCCTCGTGATGGCTCTGGGGCATCCCTGTCCCACCTGCTGCTCATGCAGGTCTGAAGTCAGCATTTGTTCTTCCTTTATTACAGGGAACAGTCTCAGGACAAGCCAGGAGGGCCCTGGGAGCGCTGGCCAATATCTCACTTGGAGATCATCCTGGCAGGATGCTAAGGGTCTTTCAGAGCACCCACACCGGTGTTTGGTACTCTCTTGGCGGGGAGGTCTTCCCCATAGATGGCCTCCTTCTTCCCATACCTGAACTCTAGACAAAGAGGGTTCTGCCACCTGGCAGGGACTCAGGGAGTGCCTGCCACAAGGCGAGGTGGGAGCCAATCTCTGGATTTCCAAGCTGCATTCTTTCCGTTCATCCAGGGTTTTCAGGTCAGCCTCATTGTTGGCAGCTTCAACCTGTGCCGAGCCAGGATGGGCTGGGTGCCAGGCTCACAGAAGGCCTGGGAAGCAAGTCTAGGCTTCTCAGGGAAGATGTGCAACGTGTCTGCTTTTTTTCTGTGGTGTTTCCATGGTATATCCCAAAGTCTGATGGGTTTGCACAAAGTACAGCCAACAAAATGCCTGTGAGTCTTCAAGTATTTTTTAGACTCTTGTGCAGTAGTTTCTGGTAGGTCACTATAAAATGCCATTTTTCCTTAAGCATGCAGGGACCAGGCAAAGTCAGAGTGGCCTGAAATTGAGGGCTCAGAATTGGAGATTCACATCATCCAGTCACCATGGATTTGTGGGAACTTGCCTGAAGCCAGGAGATAGAGTATGTTCCACTTCAGTGTCTAGCTGGAGGGTTAAACTTACTTCTCAAGTACACATGGGTCAATTTGGCATGAAGGCCACAGCCACCCCTTACAAAGTGTGTCTCTAGAATGAGGGACAGTGCGGCATTCACCTCCACTGGAATAGGTCTGTTCTCAAGAGAGTCCTCTACACTTGGCCAACACCATAACCCTTGTCTCTTTGTCCCTAGAGGATGGCCACCTGCCACATGCCAGTTCTTTTCCTGTCGGAAATTTACCAAGTTCAATGTTTGACCCTTGGCAGGTGCCCAGAGAGCTTCTGTGCAGTGTGAATGACACATTCCAGGAAAGCAGAAGAAAGAACAGATCTGCACAGGCACTCAGTGGGCCCACGTAGCCATGGGGGCATGGAGCAAGTGTGCAGACAGCTGTGCACTTCTAGGTGCAAACAGACAGCTGACATTAGTGACTGGTAGTCTTGCCTCCAGGATCAGAGGCAGGGATGCTTTTCATACCCTGTGAGATGTTTAAGCCCTGTACCATGTATATTTAATGTTCATTTCAGAAAAACAAGATGTAGTTCTTTGAAAAGAAAGTTCAAAGAAAGGGGCAGATTGGGAGGGCCTGACAACTTCTCGTGGTGATGGAATATTCAGAAATCTTCCCCCAACCACAACTGAGCCACAGTTACCCAGGAGATGACTCAAGAGAATAAGTAAGTGAGAAAGCAAGAGAGCCAGAGAGAGAGAGAGAGAGAGAGAGAGAGAGAGAGAGAGAGAGAGAGAGAGAACACTTACTCTGAACACATGTGGCAAAATCTGGGTTTTTGTCTTCAGGCTTGCCATATTTTCTGATGCAGTCTGCAGGAAAGAAATTGACTGTGTTATCATTCATCATCCCTGGGTTGGGGCAGGTGTCAGAGTCAGTGCCAACTGACATGGTTTCTCTTCACCTAGGTACTGTGGTCCTCTAGTGACTATATGGTCTGGCTATCATTAGTAAAAACCTCCTGACAGTGAAAGCAGGAAAGTGTCCCTGAATCTAGAACCAATGAATGTTAGAGCCGCCTACTATATAGAATACCAAGGACATTTAATGAGCTCTGACCATGGCCAGAGAGCTGAACTATAAGATCATAGCAGACTGGGTAGAAAACAGCATTCTTAGTTTGAAAGTGGAGCTGCTCTTGAGGCGTGCTCCCAGTCCTCCAGGGCATGAGACACAGCAGACACAGGTGTTATACAAGGGAGTTGGGGCATGGCTTTGGAACACACATGTCTAAGGATGGTACAATGGTGTTCTGCCACTCTATCTGACAGTCACTAAATCAGTAAGTCACTGCTGATTGTCCAATGTGGGAAGATGGTGTAGACAACATGAATATGGTTAGGATGGATATATGGGCTAATTATCTCCTTCTGCCTTGGCCCTTGAGGTAGCCCAGTACTTTTTGGACTAGTCACAGGTCCCCTGAGCCGCTGCTAGATATAGACTCAGAGCAGGTGCCTCTAGGAGAACAGAAGGCAATACCTTACCCAAGTGTATGTTACTAAGACAAAAGGACCCAAAATGCACTCTTCTTATAAGCAATATACAAAGCTCATTTGGTGTTAACTAGATAAGCAGCTCTCAGAGGGAAACTCAGGGCTGCTTTTAGGGAATACAGTGACTGTCCTCTAGGCTAGAAGCCCATGTCACGTTTTTGTCTCTCCTATGAGGATACAGTGGGGATTTCTGGCCCACCATGTGTCCCATTCCAATGATGGGAGTGTTTTATATGTTTCTGTTCTTCAAACCATATAAAAACAATGTTCTAAGTTAAAATTGATAGTACAGCAAATGTTAATAAACACAGCCCTCACCAGAAAAATTCTTTGGAGGGGGTCCTCAATAATTTCAGAAGTAGCATCCTCAGACCAGTAAATCTGAGATACTTAATTATACTTCTAAACAGTGGGGAGCCTGGAAGCAGCAGAGATGTCTGCAAACAGCAGCACTAGTCTGAGGCTCAGGCAACTTAGAATAAAATTTTGGTATAAAAAAACAAATTCATGGGGCTGGAGAGATGGCTCAGTGGTTAAGTACACTGGCTGTTCTTGCAGAAGACTCGGGTTCAAATCCCAGTACCCGCATGGCAGCTAACAACTGTCCATAACTCCAGTTCCAGGGGATCCAACAGCCTCTTCTGTCCTCCACGGGCATTGCATGACATGGGTGCACTTACCTACATGCAAGCATAACACTCAAATACACATAAAAAAAAAAATAAAAAAAACAAAACAAATTCACGTGTTGACCTGCATGTTCTGGACAGTTCCAACTCCACAGGCTTCTTCTCCCAGGAATAACTTGGTAACTGGATTCCCCCATCATGGAACAGACACCCTATGCCTGTATGACAATGAAGTACCACAGTGACTTACACATACCTTGATATCTTGGATAGAAATAGTCCTGTGGAAAGAAAAGAAGGGCAACAGTTAACTGGCACAGTATGAGGCTTTTTAAACAGGACTGTAATTGGTTAATCAAACCTGGAGACAGAAACTCTCATGACGCAGCTGTTGAAGGGGGTGAGAATCTCCCACCCTGGCTTTCTGAACAGCAAGGCTGCTCTGAAACCACGGTCAGGAAGGAAAACGCCTGAAGAAGCAAAGGGCCAGGAGGCTTCTGCCGACTCAGCTTCCACAGAATGGCTGCAGAATGTGACTGTGCACTCACTTTTAGTCACAGGCAAATTGGCATCACTTATAGCTGGTTAGAAGGTGCCTGTCAAAATGTTTCATGAGAAAGTAGATATAGGAGGACGAGGAATGTTCCAGGTAGGAGCCCCATTTCAGTCCAAGGACACAGAGTTATCTAGAGATGTAGACTTCCCTTGGTTTGTGCTCATCATCTTGGTAAAAAAAAAAAAAAATTCTGGCTGAGACATGAGGCTGTACATGTGGGGTCTTTCCCATCTCTGGAGCCCTACACTGTTTACAAGTAAACTATTGGATACCAGAGGCCCCTGGCCATCCTGGGCTAGTGGTAGTATGGGTAGAAGACTGTTTGGGGTCAACTGCCACAGTCTAGACTCCAGGGTCACTGCCTGGTTAAAGCAGGTAGCAATGCAGCTTAGGGTCAATCACAGTAGCAGCTTGGCTCCAAATACTCTTGAGGCAGGGCTACCTCAGCCACTGACAGCAGCCGGTTTCCCAAAGGCGGTCTGCTTTTCGTATCATGACTGGACACCTAGTGATTGTCACGTGCAATCTAGTGTACTAATGGGCGTTATTGTTGCAAATGGGTGGCCCTGATAAAAGAGCAGTGCGGATCCCTCCTTGGCCAAGTCACTCATGGGAACCAATGGAATTTCACTTCATGTGCTTCATTATTTGGGGGAGAAGGAGCAGAAAGCATCTGAAAACTTGACTGGCATTGCAGGCGAGAGAGGACTGGACTGGACTAAAAGAAAAGCTAATAACAAACATACCAAAGTGCTATGTGCTCCCAAGAGAAAGCTCTGACATCCAGGAAAACGTTCAGCAGACAGCCAGACAGGTTCGATGCCACAGACTCCCAGCAGAGCACCCACCCGTGTGTGATGTGCAGGGTAGAATTTTTTTTTTTAAATCTCCATTCACCTTTCTCTCACTGGTGAGGGGTTATGTGTATGACAGAGTTAGAGGGAACAGGGCAGAGGAGGCAGGAGTAAGATCTCTGTCCCTGGGGGCCTGCCCAGATACTTTCTACAGTTTTAGAAAGAATATTAGGACCTCATGCTAGGTTCAACTGCACCAAGGCCTTGTCTTTCGTGGGGCTCCTTAGATGGTACTTACATGACAAGAGCTCTTCATGTTATAGAGCAAGTGTGGGGATGCAGCCAGCAGGCATGGGGAGAATCTGATGTGTTGTTTACATGGCCAGGAAGGGCCTCTCACAGTCATATACATGGCAAAGGCCAAGAGTAACAGGGCACTGCCCATGCTCCCCTAGTAGTCCTGCTGCTGGGTCTGCCTTTAAGCCAGGACCAGGTCAGCCATGGGAATCTCTTCTGGCAGGATGCTGCAATTCTGAAATCCAGTTCAAAAGGACCCAGTGGCCTTTGAAGTTTCCTGAGAGTGCCATAGTTCAGAAGCAGGAGGCTGACCTCTCTGCTCCCCTTCACAGGGACCAGACAGGACCCTGTCTAAGAATAACCCTTCGGCTATCACTCTTCCCTGGCCTCCTTGGAAGGCCTCACCAGCCAGGCTGCAGCTGGACTTTCTTCAGCAGTCTCTGGATTGGACTAAGCCTGAAGACAGTTCATGGACCAAAAACAGACAAAACCCACACAGAGGACATCCATGTGCATTATCAAGCTGAAGAAACATCTGAGCCCAAAGTGGGTTGAACTGACTTCGCTTCCTCTAGCTGCAAACAGGACACTCCCACTGCTACCCCACACAATGCAGCTGGGAAGATTCCAGGACACCCAGAACACAACAGCTGCTACTTGTAGTTTTGTTCCCACCTTTGTCTACGTGTGCTCTCAGACTCTCTGAGCCTAAGACTTCTCTGCTAGCAGGCTGGGGCAGTATATACAGGCTGGGCTTTCAGTCTTACTCTCACAGACTTTCTCAGGGGAAGGGGCATAGCACACAGACAGAATCCTCATCTCTGTCTTCTCGCTATATCATGGCCTCACACACATAGCACCCCAAAAAACTCACTCCCATAGACAGCACCAGTGAAAGATGGCCCCTAAAGACTGGCCCCACAGAATGTTCACACCATACATAGGCCCATAGATGCTCAGTGTGGAATGGATGCATGCTCTGCTTCCCCAGCTCTGCACACATCTATGGGCTGAGACTTCCCTCTGGATCCACACAGTGTAACAAGCCAGATCCACATGGTGTAACCACCCTGCATTGGGGTGTAAGAACTCCCTTTACTAAATCACTTCCTTAGTAAAAACAGTCTTAAATTTTGTTTCCAAGTCCTTCACATCATCTGACAACTATGCCTCCAAGGAGCAGGTGACTTTTCTTATTAGCACAGTAAACTATTCATGATGTTTTTCATGGGAAACAGTCACAGGAATTTACTAAGCCCTTGACCATAAAGTGGTTTTGCCAACAAACCAGCTTCCGAGGGGAAACTTCCAGCCTGAGCAACCCAGGGAGCTACAAGGTCAGCTGATCACCCAACAAACACTTGAATAGATGGCACATTGGGCACAGTAAGGCTCCAGCTGAAAAGGCTTGCAGGGCAGGACAGGTATGTTAAAGAGAAGTCTGCCATGCTGATCGGTGTCTGCAGATGGTATGAAGACCCTCACCAAGGAGTGTCTCTACTTCTGATTCTCTTTTCATCCCTAATTATGGACCAAGGCACACACAGGGTAGCCTTGTGACAGAATTCCTACCAAGGAGATGTAAGCAGCTTGAACCCAAGTGAGGAGAATTGAACGTGGGAACTGAACAGTATCATTCACCTGAGGCTTGGGAGCAGTCCAAGAACACAATACCACTCTATGGCTCCCAAGGCTACCTCCTGATGGAAGGCCCAACTGCAGGGGAGAGCTTCTGCACTGTGGGGGAAACCCTCTGAACTTCTAAAGGTAGAGCAACTAAGCAGTTCTACAACAAGCAGTGTTAGTTTTGCAGATGGCTCCGTCAGCCTCCAACCCTCTACCAAGAGCAAAGGGTCCAGGAAGAGGCCCTGGGGCCACTGAGGTAGAAGCTGCTGGCTGAACCCTCCCTGAGATCAGAGCCCGTGAGTGCAGAGCCTGGGTCTAGGGATGTGCTTTGTGAGGAGATCCTCACAAAACTAAGCCTACAGCACATCTGGGGGGATGGATATGGGAATGTGTATTTCATTATCATGGGCATAACACCAAGGTGGACTCTAGGCCCCAGTGCGTCTCTCACGTACTGTACGTCTATTCAGCGCACAGGGAATTAACTAAAGTTTCCAGTTTCTTCCACTACTGGTTCCTTAAAAGAAAATCCTGAAAAATTTAAAAACATACTTTGAACTCTGTCAAGGTCAAACGCAGAGCATGTGCTGTGAAGGTGCTGGAATAGTATGGTTGTCAGCAGATGGAGGCTTCCACCAGTCCCTAAGCCTCAGATAGGAGCTCTGCCTGGCAGATGTAGCTTCGGCTTTCACCTGAGCAGGTCTAGAGGCCACTAGGCGTGAAGGAAGTAGGGACCTGGCCAAGGGCCACTGGGTGAGTAACCTAGGAGGGTTCAGCTTGCTGAAGCCTCAGCTCTGACCTTGGGGCCCTTCACTTTGCCACTTTCTTGAAGAACATTTTTCTAAACATCTGATACTGAGCCTGTGTGTTATCTACAACATCAGATACTTTGTTGTTACTCTGAAGAAGGTCCTCGAAGGGCCTGGCATTCAATGCCTATAGAACCAGAGGGGCTTATCTCCTCTACAAGCTCACCTGAGGACCCATGGAGGCTAGCCCTGTCTGCTGGGCCATTTGCCATCCTCAAGCCTGTGCCAGATCAGTCTGCAAAGTTTGGCAATAGCTCTGTGGCCCTGGACTGCAATGCCCTTCCCTCAGGGCCCACAGTGACTAAAGCCCTCTGGAGATAGACAGGATGGCAGAGGGTAGGATGCTTGGTAGAGAAGCCAGGAGAGAAAGTATGTATGAACTTCTGTGCCTATGTACATTTTTGTGTGGATGCATGTGTGTCTGTGTAAATATCTGAATGTGCATGTGTGTGTGTGTGTGTGTGTGTGTGTGTATGTGTGTGTGTGTGTTGGGGGAAAATACCTAGGCAGATGGAGTGGTCATCTCACCTGGATGTCCCTTCCCTGCGAAGACCCCAGATTCCAGGTTGCAGAGGGTTCCTCTTCCTGCTAGGACATCTCCCTCCTTATACCACTCCAAAACTGGGTCCCTGTCCCCACTGACTAGTGTTCCAAAGGAAAGTGGGGGGGATTTCTATCTGCCCAGGAGATGGCCCTCCCCAAACTGTCCTCAAAGAGCCCAGCATTTCAGGGTACAGGTCCGTGGTGGGTGGATATGGTTTAAACATGGTCACCCGAATCTTAGACCTTTAAAGTGAACAGCACCTCAAAATTCTACCAGAGTTCACCAGCAGCAGCAAAGAAGGGCCAGGTCCTGGGGGGTGGTGGAGGGAGAATGAGGTAGAGACAAGAGCAAGCCAGGGAAGGAGGGGAAACTCTTCCACTCAGCCCACGGAAGCATTTAATCCTCAAAAGCAGCCAGCCCCACGGTGAGTGTTTGCAATATTGAACTTTGTATCTCAAATAAAACAAGGTGCTAATCAGCAACCAGGCCTGCATTTTTCTGCTTGTAGGCTGGGTTCCAAGTACCAGGCTGAGACTCCAGCTGGGATGAACTTCTTGACCACGAATCTCCCAGGAACCTCTGGAGGCAATCACCCTAAGCTGTAGAGACAGCCTTAAAGGATCTGGTAAATTAGTAAGGGGCTTCTGCAGAAGTACTGAGGACCTGGTCAGGGGCAGGCCTGGTGGAGAACAGTATTGCAATCCCAGGGCCTCTCTGAATTAGCCTCTGGGACAGAGAACCCCCTACTAGTGAGAGTAAAGTACCCGGAAGGAACAGTAACATGGACATGAGATAACAGAGAAGCTGTGGGGGAGAGGAGGGACAATGATTATAAGTGGCCAGTGCTGCTACCACAGGGACATAGCCACTGAGGAATGTGGGAGGAGGCCCACAGGAAATCTGTGGAGGAAGAGGAGGAGGAGGAGGAGGAGGAGGAGGAAGAGGGGGAGGAGGAGGAAGAAGAGGAAGAGAGGAAGGGGGAGGAGGAAGGGGGAGGAGGAAGAAGAGGAGGAGTTGCATTCTCTCCCTGAAGAAGGTGTATAAAAAGCTACCAGCATCTGGGAAGGATCCTCTGTTGATTTGAGGACTGAGGTCTGGTCTGGTACTTTCCCTCCCTTTGAGGAGGAAGAAACCCCAACTGGTCCCAGCTGCCTAGGCCCACCCAGCTTGGAGGACAGAACTATGTCCTCATTACCTCCCTGGGGCCCTAGGAAGGAATGTCAGGGGTAAGGAGCCAGAGGTAGGCACGTATATGTTAGCTACAATTGGCCAGGATGTCACTCACAGCAGAGTCTGTCTTAAGTCCAGCAATGGTTAAGAAACATACAAGCAGGATTCTAACAAGCACTTAGAAGCTGTTTTTGCTAAAAAGCACGGACTCCTCATTCAGATTCACAAGGGAACTAAAAGCAGGGTTGAAGGACTAGCACCTTTCCCTTTACTTTGCATCTATCTTATTGTAGGTCACTTGCTTATACGTTTGCATGTAGGCATGTCAATTACTCAAGCACTGTCTACATAAAACTAGAGATGCATACCTATCTCATTCCCCTGCAAGGCTGAAGGCACAAAGATAAGACGCCTTAGCATAAGATGGGTCAACATTTTGTGTCTTGTCCCAGCACCCCCGCCAAATGGTAATTAAAGGTCTCTAGGAACAACAGAGTCTCAGATAGATCACCCCAAAATTTAGAACAATTATCTATGAAGATGAGCCTGTACCCTAGAGAAAAGGTAACCATCTCCTGAGAAACAGTTTGTCCTTCAAGCAGTAAGGACTTCTTTGGACCACCTTGTAGAACCAGAACCAAGACAAAGATCAACCAGACCACACCTTAAGCAGGATTGCTTAACTATGCATAACTGAGGCCTTCATGCCCCAATTCTTTTTCTATTTAAGCCTAAAGCTCATCTTAGTATTCTAAAGACAAACCTGAGGCCATGGGACCACTCTATCTGTACCTTTTCTTAATGTGCATTAACTAAATTTTCATTTTCTGCTTTTCACCATTACTGGTTTCTCTGCAGTATAGATGTACAAGTTCCTTGAGTTTCTAAGACCTGCCCTAAAACTCCACTTACAGGATCAGCCCCCATGTGTGTGGGTTCTGCCTGGTGCAGCAAGGATTCCCTAGGACCATCATGGGAGTCTAGTCTGGCAGGTGATCTGCACACCACAGTCTCTCGTTGTAGGGAAGCCCAGGCCATGTGCCTTGTACAGACCATCTCATGGGCCTCCTCCAACACAAGAAATGAGCTACATTTCAAGGCCAGGAAAATATGTAGCATTTCCTAGGAAGATAAGCCAGCCACCTAGGGAGGCTGGTCTGCTGAAGGGAACTGTTTTCCTTCTCAGGACATGAAGGTGAGTGGTGTTCAAAGGACCAATGGCCCTGATCTGAAGTCTCCTCAAGGGTGTGAAGCAGGAAGGGCTCCAGGCAAGGAACCATGCAGGACACCAGGTCTTCAGAGTCCAGTCTAGTCCTACCCCTCCCTAAGACTTGCCCATATCCCACAGGACATGGAGACAGAAGAAAGTGATCAGCAGCCAGATCAAAGCAGTAGAATCAGGGGGTCTGAGCAGGACCTCTGTGCAAGCAGTCAAGGTGGCAGGATGGACACCAGGGTTAGCAATCCCCATACTACAGGGAAGACGCCCAGGTACGCTGTCCAACAGGGAAGGTAAGCTAATCCATTGGGGGGAAATGAATGTGCTGTTACTGAGGTATAGGGATTGCAAAGAAGTGGAGAATTGTGGACAAGTCCAGATGATTCTAATGGAAACAGGTATCTACCAGGTCCTGGTGAGGACAGGTTGTGACAGGACAAGAAGGGACTGTCCTTCCCATCATTATAACCTGGGGCTTCACACAAATGCAGACAGAAATGCGAAATCCTCCAGGGATGGAACAGAGGTTACTTAAAGAGATGGAGTTCTGAGTACTTTTTCTCTTTCTCATGTCTTCATTTCACACCTTTGCAAATAAAATTATAATTAAAACATAAAGCAATTAAAACTAGAGGGACCTGGCTCAGAGAGTAGCAGTTCCATGTCCAGGCAGCCAGTAGGGGCCAGCTTGGGCCTGTCTGCCTTGGCAGGACTGCACTGGGTGGTGGCCTTGCTGCTCTCAACTCTAGTCACCACAAGCCTCATCTCACATCTGAATGACAGAATGCTTCATGGAAGGGTGAGGTTGCAGGGCACTAAACCAGTTGCCTAATCCCACAGCCCAGGTGACCAAGGACTAAAAGCTGGGCCATCAGGTATCATGATCAAAGAAACAGGAAAACAGCAAGGCTAGAAAGACTAGCCATCTACCCCTACAAAAAAGTGAAGCCTGTCTGGCTGTTGGTACCTTGGGCAGTGGCATGTGGGACACAGCCTATCACCTGATCTTGGCTTCCGCACTGGGCAGCAGAGCCAAAGCAGCTGTGATGGCACCCAACAGCTGAGGCACTGGTGTCAGAACAGTAGATCTGATTGGGGACTGTCCAGTCAGCCAGTTACACACAAGTCACAGCAAAGGCCCTCATGGCTCACATAGATCCATCCTTCTATCACATGTGATGCTTATTTCATCCCAGAAGAATTTTTTGAAAGAAAAATGCCAGCAGAACCCAAAACCTAGCTGTGAAAGCACACCGACTTGGCAGGTTACTGAAGGCCCTCTGCATAACTGCACAGCCCTGAGCGCCTGGAGTCCAGATCCCAACTTCAGGCACACCTTAACCTGGGGTGTGTTTCCATCCCTCCCATCCTTCCCTCACTTTCACCTCCTGTGGGAAACTCCTGGGCACATGTGGGCTGTTGTCTGTCTGCAGTTGGCTGGCTGCCTGCTCCATTACCCAGGGACATTATTAATAGAAGTTTGCCCTGGGCCAGCACAGCCCCTGTAGAGGCAGGTGCTGGCCCTTCCTCACGTTCCTCCCCACCCTTCTATATGCATATTCTTTGCACAATTCCTGTCATCATATTTTTGGACTTGCTGTTGCAAGCAATTCCAGCCTTGAGATCTTTCGATTCCTCTTTCAGGAAAACCCCGGGTCCCTCTGGAGGAAGACCAAAAGAGCCCCACCCACCCTTTACCTCCAACCCAGCTCAGGGAAGGGGGCAACCTGAGGAAGCCTTTGAGCTTCAAACCATTGTGTTTCTTTCCCATGGGTTCTTTTCATCCCGGGGTAGATGTAGGCTTAGGCTTAGTTTGAACATGTTCTTGAAACGTTGCCCTCAGAGGCTACTACAGGGCCTTGAGACCCTACTCAAGGACATGTCTCCAAGGAAAGGACCTGGGGTCATCAGCGGAAATGGGGTGCGAAAGTGGTGGAAGTGAGGGTATGCCTGGAGCTCTTCGTCTAAGAGTTCTGGGGTGGGCGCAGCGGCGGAATCCCCACGATGCTGGGCAGGACTCCAGAAAGTGTGTCTGGGATGCGGCAGTCCGCGGGTCCCCTGGGCCCGCACAGGGTGGGTGTCGGGACTTGTGGCGTCCCCAAGGACGGACTCCGCCACACGCAGGGCAGGCCCCAGCCGCCCCGAGACCTCGGCGTGTGCTCACCGTTTCGAGGTCGTTCTCGAACACCTCCCGGGCCTCCTCCTTGCTGCACAGCTCCTCCACGCACTCCCGCTCCAGGTGGCCCTGCTTGGCCTCCTCGAAGACTTGGTAGGCGCGGCGCTGCCTGGGCCGCAGGAACTGCGCCGCCTCGCGCGCCCGCAGCAACACGGCTGCAGGAAGAAGGGTACGCCGTCAACCTGCACTCACTCGGGAGTGCAATGTCCGGGATCCGGGTGTCCGGGGACAAGGATGGCCGGGGCTGGGATGCCTGGGTGTCTGGGATGCTCCGGGGCGTCGTAGGACCGTGATGGCTAGGGCCCAAATGTCCCCAAGGCTGGGATGCCTGGGGGACTGGGATACCCGGCACCAGGATGCCGCGGCGGGGTGCAGGCCCGGCGCCTGGCTCCAGGGAATGGAGGGGCTTGGGGGCGCTCGCTGTACTCACTGTGCGAAGACTCGGAGGCCAACAGAAGCAGCAGAAGCGCGGTGCCCAGGGCGGCGGCGGGCCCGGGCGGTGGCGGCATGGCGGGGCCCGGGCCGGGGAGCCAGGCGGCCGGGTGCGCGCGGTCAGAG